TAGTAGAAATAATTTATTCGAGTAGTCGCAATTCAAAAGAAACAGGCGAAATATTTCGCATTTCGCCGAGAAAAAGCGCTCGTGGAATCAGGCCTTTACGGTGCTGTTAAAAATTCACTGCATGTTTAATGTTAAAAGTTTAATTTTAAATTTGCTGATAAATTTGAGATTTCAATGTGTGTTAAAAATAAATGCACATCTATAGTGTTATTTAATTTAACTGAAAGACTTAATCCACATGATCATATACAAGCTTTTTGTTGCAGGTTCGCAGACTCTCTCTATATATACCAATTCATTGAGTTCATCGGCGGTGCACTAAATGCTCAGCACGCACATACAGCTCTTTAACTCCTACCATGAGCGAATAAACAATCCCTATTTGAACACAAAGATTCGCTACTTGACTTCTCAAGTGAACTCTAGTTAACTTGAAAAGGTTAGTACTCTAAAAATAACCGCTAATGATTCTGCTTCTACTCAGGAGTAATTGAAGTTGTAACACCCATCAGAGTTTATATACCATGCAGTCTAAGCGTCGAAGGATATAGCACTGTATGGCAGAGTGCATATATATGACAATTCTGTTTTGTTTAACCTTAGTCGTTATAAGCTAGAAAGTGTTTTGTTAAGTCTGTAAAACGTTTTTCTCACGTTGCGAAATATAAACAGGACACTTAACTTGGCCAGCAGGATGCTTCTAGATATTGCTGACATCAAATTTTACTAATTGAGCGGTTGGAATATTGTATTGAATCAGATTTGAATCCTGGATATGTTTTATTGTTCAGTTGTGCTTCAAAGAGTTCGCTGGTTGTTAGGAAACATGTCAAGGAAAACTTCTCATGGAAAATGTTTTAAAGAAAATTTGTTACAAAAAGCCGTTTCTGTACGAGGCCCCATAATAATTGTTTTAGCTAAAGTGCAGGTGTCTACAAAGTTCAGATACAAGATGGGGGCCAAGATCAAAGAGAGATATTCGTGGGCAAAACCAGTGGCGCAAACTCCCTTGGACACCGGCCGGCTCAACCCGGGGGCCACACATCGATTTATTAGTGGGTCCCTGCAACAAGGATAACGAAGACGAAGTACTTCATGAAATTGTACATGTTCTCGAAGTACCCCCTGTCAACACTAGGAATTGGAGAAGGACCAGGGGCTCCTCTTCAATTTAAGCCCGGCACAAAGTTACACCACTGCGCAAAACATGACGGCACTGCATGCAGTGGTTATTTTGTAGCATCATATTTTGGGAACTGAATTGAGTAGAGCTGGAAGACCTATATTTGCGTACACATTGAAAATCTCTACATAGAGCTATCATTCAGTTGTAAAACGTGAAGATGAAGATCTAATTCGAGGGCTTCGACCAAATTGCGCCGAAAGATACTGAACTTCCAAAAGAGAAACTTAGGTAGTCGGCAGAGAAGGTTCGATGAAGATCAATCAAATGATACGATTTGCTCCAAAGAGACAGCATGATCCAAGTGCATATAACTGCACCTAACCTTATGATTAAACAAACAGTGGCTACGTCACCTATAGAACTTTTTTTACCCAAACATTTCAGAAAGATACTGTGTATGTATTCAGTTCGCTTGCCCGAAGAAAATAGTATATACCTAGACGCCCCTAATTCTAAAACACATATACTGTGTTTACAGCAGACCTTGATTACTTGAACTATGCAATTAATTTACATACAAGACAAACAAGGCTGTCAATATTTCAACCGCTGAACCAATAAATAACCAAGATATATTTAATATTATCTATTGCTATAGTAAAAGGTTTGAAGAGCTCAATTTATTGAGTAATATAATCAGTATGTAATCTAAATTGTTACATGGTTCTAGAATAGTCTAAGCTCAATATATCATTACATTACATTGTTTTAAATGCCCTCAATCTTGCTTTCACAATTCAAGTTAACATGTTTATATATAGAAGCATTTCTTCTCATATTACTATATACACTCGGCGAAATTAGATTTACTTTTGACAAACTTAATCAACTGTAGTACTAGTTCGAGCATTGGAATCTTAAAGTCATAAACCAAACTATCTCGGTGGTATAAGACAAAGAAAACGCCATTACCGATATGAATTTTGATAAATCGACTTACCTAATGCCTTATGATATTATTCGTCATCTTATAATCACCATACAAGCGTCCCAAGCTCTAGGATTTTGGTAAAATTCATGACATTCCATCGAACTGTACGATTATTCATCATGGTAGGCGTCTTATTAGACGACTTTTCTTGAGTATATAAAACATTGTCATGTTTGGAACAAAGATATCAAGAAGCGAACAATTGTGTTTTCCGTTGTGGAAGAGTGCTTTTGATTGGATTTGAATAATGCAAATCAAGGTGGAATATCAAATCATCAAATGATAATCTCACACTATACAACTTTTTAAAGTTAAAACATTTGGTCCAGGCTATAAAAGCCAGAAACAGCCGACAATTTTACAAAAATATATAAAACGAAGAATGAAAATATCACTTGAAAATCAAAAATATCAGAACAATCAACCAACGTATTAACTGTTAGTTATAAGTATCTACAAATTATATGCAATTTGTCAGCTGAAAAATGTTGGTTGGAAAACTACAAGGATCGGCACAATGAACACAATTTGACTGATTTATATATTACATCATTTACAGAGTATCATATTTACATATATAGAAAGCTCTGTGCCTCAAGTCCTCCTATTTTTGAGATCAGTGGTGTAACAAGCCCTTGATACATGTCACATGTGAGTTATTATTTATTAAGGTCCATACAGACCGGACGCGATTTGGCAACGCGAATTTTCATTTTTCAATGACATTTAACTTTAATATTTTTCTATGTTTTTCAAATATTCGGAACCGCTTAAGCAATTTTAGCTATTTGGTCTGCATATCTTGTAAAATTTATTTGTTTTTAAAAACTGAAAATTCGTGTCGCGTTGTCGATTCGCGTTCGGTCTGTATGGACCTTTATATGAGGGGCGAGGCGATACCAGTTTTATCGCTCGAGGGACGATGTATAAATGTCACGAGTGAGCGAAGAAAAGAGGGACATTTTTTATATATTTGTCCTGAAAGCCGGCGATAAAACTGATATCGCCTCGTTTATTATATACTTGTGCCTTTATCAGGGTCAAAATTTATTAGAATACTAAATCATTGCCCCAATGCAACAATTGTTAAAATATCGGGACAAAGAGCGATATATCAGCGACAAAAAAACGATATCAGTGACATATTGCTCTTGGATATAGGCAAAGGCATGTGATAAATTACTTTATATAAGTGGCGCGTGCAATCAATTTCAAGGGAAACAAAAAACAAAGTGAATTTCACCATGTTGAATGAAATTCAAATTGCAAATAAGGAAAATCCTTTGTCAAATCCATCCAACATTGCGGCGGTGACGTATCATGCCAACCTCGTTCCCAGGACTTCCTTCGCAACGAGGTTGGGCACACTGAGATATACGATCTAATTCCAAGTACGCGTTTCTATAAAATTGTAGAGAATTGAATCGCAACGGCCGGGCCCACAGTACAGTATAAACAACAATATGTACAATTTTGGCATTTTCCATCCATTCCCCAGCAAGACCATAAACCCTGGTTCTATCATTTCTTGGTTTCATAACTCCAATCATTGGCCAATGCCTGTAAGCGTTCAACCGCAGTCAAATATTCATTCTTTGTGAAAAATCTCTTAAGAAGTTTATTTCTTTTCGGGACATACGAATCAGAAATGTTTACTAATGTTAGTAATATTCTCATATAGCAGTCGGGAGGCTTGGATTTCAACACGATCATCCGGATCTCTTTTTCGAGCAATGCGTAAGGTTCTGAAACAAGAACAACTTATCGTTTTAAAGTTGAAAGCAAAAATGTATACAATTATATTTAGCCTTGATCATTCCCATCATGCACCATTATTTTTTCAATCTTCATCCAGGGACTGGGAACCAGTCAGCTCCCAAAACAAAGGAATACGGGCGGGAAAATTACTTGGGAGGTGGGGGGGGGGGGGGGGGAAAAATTGAAGTGCAAATGAAAATCTGGCATATCTTATACACACTAGATAGTGCATCTAATTATTCTGCAATTCAAAAATTGAAGCCGTGATTGCAGACTCAGTATATTCCCAATGAAATGAGAAGACTCGTATGTTTTCTATTTCTTAAACAGGGAACTTAAACATTAAGTTAAACCTATTCCAAATACATTTTCAAACTGTTCAAATGATGAAAGTTATTGTTGTTTTTTAAGCGTTTATTAGCGAGTGGGAAACTCCAACATGGCCGCCATCTATTCAAATGGGGGTAACCGCTGCAATATTCTTGGCTTCAATATGTTAAGATCCTGCTAATCTTCATGCAAGACTTACCGAGATCCACAGTTCGATATAATCTGTTGAATCCGCAACATTCTCCATCTCGTCTCAATATCTTTAACTCATCCAAACTTTCTAAAGTTAAACTCGCACAATTTTTTCGTGTACAACACTTCCACTTCATAGCTTGTAACAAACAGTCGTGTAGGGTCATGTCTTGCTCCGTCTTGTCAAGCTTTAACAGGTGAGAGAATGCAGCCTGATCCAGATAGGAATTTGTCATATCTCTGTCGACAATCTGTGGATATAAAATGTTGGAAAATGAATACGTTTGAATTTTTGGAATCTCGTAGATAATGAAAATTAAAACAGATTTAAATTTGAGTTTATATATAGTCCTCACCAAGTTATAAGGCATATAGTAATCGAAAAATTTAATTACTACGACAAAAAAATTTATAACCGCGAAAACGGAGAACTGTTGGTGACGAGAACTTTGTTGTAACTATACGAAATTAATTTACAATCGCTTTCTAAACTGGCTTGCTGTTTTTGTGTATTCTGCATCATGCCTTACTCGCCTCGCCCTAAAGTTGCTGCCATTCTTCTAATACCGCGTTAAATTTGTACATGAAAGTGTTTAATATTGTCACAAGAAGCTTTCTTTTCATTTGCTCATTTTCACATCATCAGTTTTAATGAGACGAAGTACAAAGGCGAAAGGCGGAACGCCTACATAACTATATAAGACAAATAACAGCTTTGCTTTAGGCCTCAATTACACGATACCGGTTCGCATCGGAGCGACATCAAATTTTACAGTTTCAAGGGCAACCTCGGTCCCAGTTGTTTCAAGGGGAGTGATATAACAGAATTAGTCGCCAAAAAGTGTCTTAGTCGATGTCGCTCGACTCGCTCCGATGTGAATCCGGTATCGAGTAACTGGGTCTTAAAGTCATATTAAACAACGATCTCAACGTTTTTAAATTAGGGAAAATGTAAGCTTGGGAAAAACATCTGTCAGATAATAATATGAATTTTGTCTCCATTTTTGTTCAGTCATTATCATGCTAATGCAAGAGAAAGGCCTGTTAACGTCTGCATGCATAAAATATTAAAATATTGGCTTCGGCTATATTGACAACTACACAAGTCAGCATGTTGCATTCTTAATTGCAGACGTACACTGATCCATACATTTGTCCGAGGTTAATAATAATAATATATTTAGCCAAAACAGGCGGTTGTGAGCAACTAAACAATAGATTTTCCCATTGAACTATATGTATAACTGGAGTGATGTTGTTAGATCATAGCTATGGTTTGATTCAGTCCGAGATCGATTAAATTCATGTATAAAAAAACTCGATTATGGCTCCGATGAACAATCCGTAAAAGCGACTTGGGTTCTTGGGCTTGAATACGATTTTCTTGGGTCTTGGGACCTAATACTTTCCAAGCGGCCTTCGTACAACCGTTCAGTTTATTCACTCAAAAGCATTTTTTCTCCATTTGCCACTGATTCCTTCTTTCTTAACATACACCCGTGTAGGGAGAAAGAGCTAATATAGAACTCTCCTGAATAAATAAAGTTATTTTAGTTAAGTTTACTTTAATTGCCTAACGTTTGTTTATGGCTTGTGCCGTTGCTACTCAATTCAGAACTTAATAACATGCCTGACTACTAACAGTATACAACAGTAAGTGTTATCAAGCCATCATTATTTCGTGAACCATATCATAACAAACGAAATTTGAAAATAAACTTTTTTCGCTTTCATTTGACGATGGTTACGGCTAAAGCCTCTTTTCCACTCATCGCAAAACCAATTTTGAAACCATTGAAAACTATGACTCTTGCGATAAGTGGAAACGAACCTAAAAGCCACGGCAACTCGTCAATTCTCACGCATTCTCGTTGGGCAAGCCAGACTAGAGTTTGAACGAGAGTTTCATCAACTTTCTCCATCAACGACAACAAAAGTTGCTAATGAGTGTTGACTGGATATTACCGGTCAAACAAGCAAAAACTCGTTAACTCTCATCAAATTTTGAACCTACTCAAAGACAAAGTTGATGAGAATTGATGACATTCAATATTCACTGGAAATTTCCATCTATACACCTCGAAAAGAGGTATCACCTTCCCAAATTAATTGTGCGATAAAATAGCGCAAAGACAAAACTATAAAAAGGTTTACTGTAATTCAATATAAAATCTTTTGTGACCATGCGATAGCGTCCAAGACTTTTGATTTAAGGTCGTGGTCATCGAAACACAATATCACACACTTTGTCTTTGATCAAAGCTTCCTTGGATAAATTGGTGAACAGCTTGAAAACCTATATTATAAACCTGCCCTAGTTGGTTTCCGAAACATTAGAGAGCTTAAGATCCGCGACACGGAAAATTCTTCATGCAAGACAAGGAAGTATGAATACTTTGTGGTCACAGGGGTAATCTTCAACAGCGTTGTCACTCTGAATGCAACGTTAAGCTAAGCATTATCACGTCTTTGCAACAACGTGAAAGTTTATTGTACGTTAGATGTGTTAATAAAGTAAACATCACATCGTTTCTCCTGAACTTTAAGAAGCTTCAAACATTTATTACAATAATCACGATAGCGCTCATCATTGAACTGAAATTGAGACGGTGTCGTCGAGTTTGGCACGTCGTATAATAACTGTTCGACGTTTCAAGCGACAGCCCCTCGACCTCGTCAGTAAGCGGTTTATTAGTAGCGTGAATTGTAAATTAGGCGTTAGTATACTATTAGTAGTGAAAACACTTCAGTTGTGCAACTATAGCGCGAAAACAGCTTGACACGCTTTAAAAACCTTTCCTGGTTCGTGTCTGAGCTATACTACTTGACCTAAAAAAGACTAAGAACAGTGTTGTTTCGAGCGAAGGCGTTCAGTGACGGTAAAGCATTCAATATACACGAAAAGCACAATGTATTATACGACGCTCAATCCTTCTTTAACTCAGGAAATACAAAAGAAAAACAGCATTAAGAAACAAGAAAAACTTGAACCTGAATATAAAGTTGAATAAAATATCTTCACAAAATATTTCCACTCGTGAACAAGTTACAAGTATATATGCTTGTAAAGCGTTAATTAGATGTTACCCAAAAACAATTTAAAAGTCAAATTTACCTTAAGACTAATCGTTGTTTTGCCCAATACGTCTTGACGTTTACAAGAAATTTTCCCCAACGCGATAAGCTCTAGCAAGATACAGGCATACGCGGCTGCGAGACGCGAGGAATCGGTCCAAAGGCCATCGACGTCTCCCGTAAACCAATCCCGCCACAGTAGTACACAAGCTTGCGATAGCGTCACTTTGTGTTTACTAATGATCAATTCGCCAGCGTGGAATAGTTGTGAGTGTATGATCTCTTCGATTTTCGACGAAAATTCATCAGCAATTTGTCGCCGCTTTCCATACGATACAAAACGTTTGAGGTTGAGCATGTTAGGATGCGGTGAAGTCAATGCAAACTACAATCAAGGGATCGTAAAAACGACATGTATTCCCGACCGCACATTCTGTTGACAACACAGCGTGATACGTCAAAGTCATATTTTGCACATAATCACAATATGGCCAAGTGAACATCACACGGCGATTGGTTGAGAAGCGCTTAATAATTTAGTAGTACATTTCCACTTCGAACCATCTGCCTCTTTATATATATCCTGTCAAACTTCAAGGAGATTTTTTCGCTTCCATTCACGTTTCTTTTGCGAGTATTGTAAATACTCATTTGCATTCAAAATAACATATAGGATACTTTTATTACGAAAAAATTTACATAACCTTTCAAACACAAGACGGGCTTAATAAATAGTTTTGACATCGTATTTTCTGATTGCTGATTTATAAAAGCATCGAAGAAAGACTATCTGTGTTTTTTTAATAGATAATAATCGTGTCTAATCGTATCGTGCTAACTGAAACGATTGCTCAGTTACTGCGCGATTGCATTTATAGTATAAAGTACTTGTCATAGATACGTGTGCAGTGTGGGTTGTGTTGACTACTTTGTCCAAAAAGCTGCTGCGCGGGGTTGTGCGAACTCCCTGTGTAATTAAAAAGACGTCCTCTTAAGCCGAAGGGCCTAAATTTTCGTCGCAACGTCGAAATGCTTTAGGGGCTGTTTACATGCATGATTCCCGGGACGGGAAGGTTTGCTTGAAAAATCAACTCAGAGGTAAAACGACTAGCATTGGCCTGTCTATCAACATGAGCGGAGCAAATACAGAGTTTGATATAATATTCAAATAATGTCCGGAAAAAAATCAGATGAAAATGAAATTTGACCGGAAATTTTGTCGGACATTTCTACTTTATTTTGACTCCCGACGTCCGTTGGGCGGTAAATCAAGTCTCCGCAATAAATAATAATTTAATTGCCAAACACCACTACTATATACAATTTAAAGTTGTGTATTCTTTGCGGGACGATCAGAGACAACTGATTGCTATTTTTTGTCCGGACAAACTGTCCAACCAATTTAGCATATGTCCGACTGTTATTTCAGACTCTCATGAAATAGTTGCTGTATGCCTGATCAAAACAAAGAATTTTCCTGTGAAATTTCCCCTGCAATGTTAGAATGTTGATATGAAAGACTAATATGGGGGGCTATATAAGGCAGATGGTTTATTTTACTCTACAATGGGCTTAATATGAAACATGAATATCAAACATTGTATATTTACTATATATAAGCAGTTACGAGTGCGAAGGAAAATTATAGAAAATATAGAACAATCTTTAATTTGATATCATTACTCCATTAGTGGTGGAAATCTTTCAACTTAAACCGAGTATTTTTTACAAAACAAAATATTAATCTTCTCTTCTTTGAGAAGATTTCATTTTATAAATTAATGTCATATTATATAAACACAAATGTACTTATCTTTTGGACAACATCCAGTCTTAAAATCAAAGTAATTTGTATAAATTCAGCTACTCTGGTCATCTGCCTTTCTTCTTTATTTTACCGTATTTTAGTTCGACTTTTTCAATGTCAATGCCTTTATTGCTAGGTATGTGCGTGAAGTGACATTTATCACCGTAAGCGCAGCCCGTTGTACGCCAGAAGTAACATTCATTACCGTTCACTGGTCCCGTAGGCTTCGCGGTTTTCTCCGTGCTAAAAGCGTAAAATAACTTATATTACTGATTTAAGAGTTGTTTTTAACTAGATCACTTAAAATCCACTGCCGATGTTCTTCAAAAATTAAGGTAATACTGTATAATAATAGATGATTGTTCTCACTTCATTCGTTATGTTTAATATACTTACTTTTTAGAACTTTTGTCACTACCTTGATAACGTATTCTTATATTTTGTCCGCCAATCATAAAACCCTAAATCAAAATAAGTCCAGTCATACTATCACAGAATATTAACCATAGAAAAAGAACGTAAGGTAGTTTTTACTGCAGCGCATATCTGGCGGCCATTTTCTTAGCAAGTGCCCTAAAGAGAGGCATTCACCCCCCTGGAACATTGAATTTCAATATATTTTCAGGGGGTGACAGCCTCTCTTTAGGGCACTTGCAAAGAACATGGCGGACTGGAAAAATCCCTTACGCTGAAATTAATATAAAGAAGTGAGACCTCTGTATGGTATTTACTCTGTGATCAAAACCTGTCGAATAATCATAGAATCCCTTTCCACACCCACAATAAATACATCTTATGCACTCAAGATTCGACTTCCCCTATACCACACTGCTACCGCGCGCAGAAATTTTTTTGGGGATCACTTTCCGTGGGAGGCTTGGTAACCGCGACTTTTACTCAGGGTACATATTTGGATTTGTTGGAACACTTGATGTAAACTTGGGGTTATTCAGGCACTCATATAAAGTCTACTATACCATTAATTATCATTAACCTTTAGGGGGAAATATTTAAATTTTCCGGAAATAAATACTAACGTGTGTGGCAATAATAGCCTGAAGTAAACTGAATGCTGCAGTACGAATGAGGCGTCTGTATTCGCAGGCTAGTACGAATGTAAAATATATATATTAGAAGTTACTACAGCTGAATTTCTGCATCGCCCTCAGCTTACACAGTTTATAATGCAAAATCTATAAACGTGTCTTGTTTACATTTTGCATTGCGCGCAGGCAAATTTTGATCTTTGAATTTTGATATCATGATAATCAATGATAAAGACATCAGTGCCCCTATAAGCATTAGAGTGCGTGGTTTGCATATTTGTCGGCAAGTATAAACATATATCATGTTTTCAACCGAGACTATCTGTGACTCACACAGTATTAGTAGTGCACAATATAATACAAACAGGGAATCTTTTAAAATAAATTCATAGTTGATTTTACGTAATTGAATAATTTGAATGTGAACGTTTCTATCAGTTAAATGAACTGCGACTTAATAATATGTCTATATTCCGAATACCATTACGGCATTACGCACGAACTTATGACCTTTATACTAGCATTATTCAAAACAAAATTCAATATCTCAATATTTATGGTATATTTTGATCTATTTTATAAAAAAATTGCAATGTGTTCTCTTTTTAGTACATTTTATTTATGGGTACAAAGCTTTCGGAAAGGCGCGATGAATAATGCGTCAAAACCGCAGCGGTTATGTAAATAAATATAGAATATATAAGTTGCGTCAAAGTATTCGACCGCAATCTATTTCCTGCTGTACAGGCTAATATATATTACATCATAACAGGCGCGGTTACCAAGCTCCCAAAGAAAGTGATCCCCCAAAAAATTTCTGCCTACCGCGCACTGGCTTTATCCACTCATTTGATTGGTTAATCCGCTACATTTTAACGCATCTGATTGGTTAATGGTAGCGGTAGCGTAGGTCGAATCTGAAACTCCTAATTTTGAAAGTAAAATTTACCTGAAGAGATTGCATAGCTCTGGCGGCGCTCTCTTTATTTTCATAATTTACAAAAGCACAAAAACTTTGAGGTAGAATTCGAATTAATGATATTGCACCGAATCTAAAGAAAGGGAGAAATTAGATACATTCACGCAAGTGATGATCAGATATTGTTGATTGCATTGGTTCCAAAGCAACACATTCGAATATGGCAAAATAAAAATTATGCATGGATAAGTCCCTTAAAGTTGAGCCCACCATCCATGAAGTTCGTACACTAGGGGAGGGGGCAGGGCCGTCGAAGGATTTTTTCACCAGGGGGCAGTAAGGTCTATATGCCGAAAAAAGTCCCAAATATCCAAAGAATAATTAATAATGTCATTCTAAAAATCGTGAATATAGTTTCCTCTAAGGGGCAGTTGTCCCCCCCCCCCAATGTGTACGACCCTGATAGGGGGGAGCAGGGAGGGGGGGGGACCGTCCGGAGTGTCTGTTACTGTGTTTCATGTTGTTAGAACAGACTGATTTGAAATGCCAAGCTTAAGTTAACGTCGTATAGTACATAAGCGTGAACGATGAATAAAAGTTCTTACTTTGAAAATAATTGTATGAGTTGTCTTTCTGTGACTTGTTTCGAATCAACATTTCCCACCCAAAGTGAAGCCAATGGTTCCGAATATCGTTGCCTAAATTAACATAACATCAACAAATAACGGTTATTAACGACCGACTTTATAGGCTGTTTGAGCACAGCTGTTTTGTCCAACCCACTGAATATGTTAATATCTGATAGGAGACTGGTGCCCAGGTACCTTGCGTCATTATCCTGCTCGTCCACCTCACCATCTGACACATACATCTCCTCTTCAGTGGCAACGAGATTTTTTACTACAAGTGAAAGGATGTACAAATAGATACGACTTTGCCGTTGTCTGTTCAGTTATAGATACACAGTATGACGTCGTTATGTGGGAAGAACAGAAAGTGGCTGACAAGCCGCCGAGGCGAGTGGGTTACACTTTTGTCCCTCCCACATTATGGCGTCATACCGTCAAGGGTGGGTTGACTACAAAATTTTTGTAGTTCGCTATAACTACAGCTACTTCAAAAATATGTTGTCAGCTACAACTACTGCTACTTTTGAACAAAGGTAGTTCGCTACTGACTACAGCTACTGCTTTAAAAATGTAGCGACTACTTCGCTATTTCGCTACGCTATATTTTTTAGTTTTACTGTATTTGGAGCATCTACTAACTCTGGCTGAAATGTAACCTATAACAAATCGACATACGAGTAGCAACAGTAAACACAAAGCAACATTTTTGTAAGCACTACAGTATTCAAGAGTGCAAATTGACTATGGAGTATTGATTCTAAGCAAACCGTGTCTCAATATCATTTTACTCTATCAAGTTGCTAACAATTTTAAAAAGTAGCGAATAGCAATTCGCTGTTTGAAAAGTAGTCAACTACTTGGCTACTTTTAGGCAAAATGTAGTTCGCTATAACCACAGCTACTGTTTTAAAAAAGTAGTCAAAAACTACTGGCTACTTGAAAATTGTAGTTCGCTACAGTAGCGAACTACAACTACTTCGCTACTACCCACCCTTGCATACCGTATATTTATAACTGAACAGAATGACTGAAGTTCTTGCTCCAGATATATATAGAGCACAGTGGGCTACGCATGCCAACTCACATGACACTTCTCACGTCGACTCTCGTGCTTGTTAAAAAGAAAAAATCTTTACCTTTGCCAGACAATAATGCGTCTAGAGCAGCATGTACTGTTCCATAAAGCCGCACAGCACGTTCACTTTGAGCATGACCAAAACCCATGTCCTACAAACGAGATCGGACGTTTAACATGCAGTATTGAAAAGAACGATTTACTTATAGCTTTATTGTAGTCCAGGAACATTAAACATCACAAAAGCGGGCTGGGTACAAAGTGTGGGGTGACAACATGACAAACATGGAACATTCCCAGACAGAGTGGAAAGTCAAAATTGTGACTAGGAAAATTCCAGAATTTATTTTTGGGTTTAGCAATTTATCAATTGGCGATGTTAAATGACGAAAGGATTTAACTTGGTATTCAAGATTTAAACATAGAGCCACAGAAATAAACTAATGGTGGGGTCAAAATGATCAAGTAGAGATTACGAAGCCATTGTCGTGGAAATTACTGAAATTTCAACACTACAGTTGCGAAGAACCTTCCGGGATATGACTATGCAAGTATACGTGGCTCCGCCCCCCCCCCCCCAACGACATAAAATTTTAACAAAGGGGTTGAGCCCCTCGCCCCACCAAACCGAGATATATAGGCTTTGGTGAATTTCCACTCACTTTCAATTGCTGGACTCGAACTCTTGTCAATTCAAATTTCGCGTCTTCGCAATGTCTGTCGTGTTTCAGTACTTGTAAGAATGCCTTTTCAGCATCAGCGTATTGCTGGAAAATTTAGAACAAGACAAACACCTAGCTTTACAAGAGACAAGATGGGAATATTATTATGCAAAGGCCTTGTATAAAATTCGATGAACGAAAATTTATGTAATATTAGCAAGCAAATAATATTTGTTTGGCGACAAGCAAATTACACGCCTTCAGACGTGTAAATAAAAACACACCTTTTTTTATCTAAATACACACCTTGAGGTGTGTAAAAATACACGTCTTAAGGTGTGTTAATTTGGCGACAAGAAAGGTGTGTAATGTCTACACACGTGACTGGATTGGTATACGTACCTTGAGTCCAGCCAAAGCACGACCTTTACGGAAATAACCTTTCGCCCAATGTGGAACAAGCATTATGGTAACTTCTGCATCTTGAAGTGCTTTGGAGTAATCCCCCAAGCGGTCATAACAATATGAACGATTTCCGAAAAATCTAAATATAATAGTACAGTTTTATAACCAACCTCGTAACTTGAATATAGTGCAGTGCGGTTCAGTGCAATACAATACGATGCAATACAAGAGATTTTACAATTAGTTATATAACTAACCTGAAATCTCGGTTATGTAATGAAATAGCTTGGGAAAAATATTGGATTGCTTCTACATAATTCTCGTCATTTGCATGGTTATTTCCAATGGCTATAGAAAGTCAAGTGTACCATAAGTTACAAGGATGACAAAGCTCAAGGTTACAGCGTGCGATAATTCGCGTACTTGTAATCTGTTGGAGATCGTTACAACTAAACAAGAGTATAGAGGAACATGTCTGACATTAAACGTGGTTATTGTGAACTTCTAAACGTTACCTGCTAAATGTCGACTTTGTTCTATGATGTGATCTTTTTCAGACTCCTCCGCTCCATCTCCTCGGATAGTGTGTGTATTATATTCATTTTTATTTACAGATGTGTCTGCAGAAGTCGCAGACGTTGTTTCGCTACTTAAATTATGATTGCTTGTATGTACAGGTCCACGTCGTGCTGCGGCATGATTGAAGAATGCACTTGATGTGTCCCACGTTTCATCCTATACGAGAGAAAAGTAACATGAATACACCCTTCCAGAAAGTAACATCAATACACCCTTCCAGAAAGTAACATGAATACACCCTTCCAGAAAGTAACATCAATACACCCTTCCAGAAAGTAACATCAATACACCCTTCCAGAAAGTAACATCAATACACCCTTCCAGAAAGTAACATCAATACACCTTTCCAGAAAGTACTTAGCCTCGTTTCCGTGATTGAGACATTGGTTTCAGAGATCTTAATTCCTGTTGCTGACGACATAACCATAAACAGATCTTTCATATTCACCGATGTAACTGTATGGTTTCGTAAATGTGTCACCTGTACTGTAACTAGATAAAGAGTACTTAACCCACTATATCTCAATCACGAAAACGAAGCTCTTTAGCCAAGACTTTCCAGAAGGGTGTATTGAAAGTGTCTTCGTGACCCTGTGGTGGGAAGTAGAGTGCACGTCCTGAAATATCCAGGAGTGTAAAAAGTTATCAGTGGGGTTACAGTACTTTTTTCCCACTCCCAAAGTTGAAAGGGTCACTTTCTTCTCCTATACCCAGGAGCGGTCGGCAGGGAAAATGGATACCTGAAGACGAAACCCTTTGACTGGTGACGAGGCTGAGATCAACATTTCCACCTTTTGAAATTCCTATTACCATGAATTTGAAGCTTATTTTCTTTTCCCTTTTTCTTCCTTCCTCTTTTCCTCCATCAGGGTTATTTTCTTCCCCAACTACCTGATTTTTTTCCACCCCCAGAGCGAGAAGCTAATGGTAAATATGTACATATCTTTCAGCCATGGCCGATGGTTCATGATACACCCTGGTCACAAGAGATTCTACATTATCCGTTATGAAAGCATATTTTTACACATACATGTGCACGTTCGTTTTCGGATTCCTCTTCCTCTCCAGGTTTTTTATTTCTGTTGCTATTTGTTCTTGTACCGTGTTCTATATTTGTAAGATTTTCATTTTCTTTCGAACTATCTCTTCTCTCTCTATTGTGTGTTGTGCTTCCTTCTTCGGACGCTTCGTCATTTTCCACCTGAAATGTTATAGATGGGCTTCATGTAATGTTATAGATCAGACAGTTCCGATACAAAAATGTTTTCTGTTTTACTGTATTTAACAATTTGATGGATCTTATACTAGTTACTAGTCTGACCGTGTTAATGAAAAGCACGTTACTACAATATGTTAAGGTTCTATATTACATTCCTTTGTTATGTGACAATTCTCTTTTTGTGTCGATAATAAACGGTACATTATATGCTTAAGTCTTCTGGTTTCTACTTGGGTTTCCTCGCCACTATCTGTCTTCTTGTTTTATTTTGTTAATTAATTAATGTATTAGTTTATTTTGTTGGCAAAATTAAATCAATCAAAAGCGAAAACCTACATCTTGGCCATCTGCTTTTAGTTCTTTTTCACGTTGTTTTCGGTTAGCTCGATTTCTCTAAAATGAAAAAGTTAATAAATCGATATTATCGGTATTTCATTATAACAGTCTTAGTCTTACCATAATCATGCCAATCTGACCTTTTACAACCCCGATCAACAGTTGTGGATCTCACAGTTTGTAATCACACTTCATTCGCATACGCTCGTATCGTTGCAACTCTTGCTAGCGAGGGTTAGAGATACTGTACAAACATGTGTAAAGTTCTAAGACCAACTTCACTGGGAATCGGCAGATTCATTGGTGACAATAATCATTTAATACGATACGTTAACATACAAAGTAAACATACTTTTTTCCTTGCTCTTCTTTTTTCCGCTTTCTTTTTTAATTTTTCCTCTTCTTTTATTAGTTCATCAGCATTCTTTCTCGCTTGCTATAATGGATAACAATTACAAGTCTAAAACTTTGATACCAGGGGGGGGGGGGCGCTCACAAAGCAACTGAGAAGCGAGTGAAATTTAAGCGCAAGCAGAATGATATTTTCCTAAACAAAAAATATAGAAAAACCGTAGGTACATGCAGTACGGTATCCTGAGAGCATGTTAACAACCAAAATGTTCGTATCAATCTACTTTCTACATATATGTTCATCACATACTTCTTCTGATATTCCAGGTTGAACTTTAGCTTTCTTTTTGCGCATCTCATTTCTATCTGCAAAACATGTATTTACAGTAGGTATAAGACTATAAGTACTAGAATCTCGAGTGAGTCATGTTACCTCAAACAAAATGAGTTTAAAAGAACTGCCTCAAACTCGTTAGATAATACATCTGAATTAGATAATACATCTGAATGAAAATACAACACACACACTATACAATTTCCATTTATTTTTCTATTTTTACAGCATGTTTGGTAATTAAATTTGCTCATTTGAGTGGCCATCTGTTTGTCAGGTTTGCTAATTGGAAGACCCACATCCACATACAAGCCAATTAAGGCACAGGGCAATATAAAGATTGTGCAAACAATTGGGAACAAATTAATTCTAGAGGAATGCAAACAGTGTCAAGAATAGTGAACTTACATGCAGTAGCAGCAGCTCTACTAACTCTGCTTGCCATTAAATCTGAATACTTCGCATGATGTTGTCTACTTCTATATACAGGAACATCATCATCTGAAGAATCTGATTCATTCATACACATGTCATCATCATCATCATCATCGTCATCATCATCAGAGTAAAACAGATGATCATTGGCAAAATCTAAATGTGATCAATGTGATTATGTTTATTACAATTATATTCATCATAATAATAACATTAATGTAATACTAATAATACTAATAATAACAATAATAAAAATACTAATAATAACAATCATTATTATAACAATGTCTTTAATAAATGACACAAATTCTTTGTTGCCAAAATTGGGTGATGGAAAGTATAAAAAGTTGGCCAAGACAAGGTTTTGTACTAGTACAATATATATAGATTTATTACATTATTTCTTCTCAGAATGACTCAAATTGATTAGTCTTTCTCATGCACAGTTTATCTGCTATTCTTGGGGTACATGAAATGCAACTTTATATCACTGTACATAGTTGTGGTCTAATGGTAAATATACAATTTGGAAAGTCACTTAATTTTCACATTGTGTTAATTTCTAGATTCTTTGACAAGAGAAAAAATTAAATTTCCATTAAATGGATTTTTGAATGTAAAAACTGACCTTTATTGGTTATTATATAATTATTATAGATATGGAAAATTAGTAGAACCATGATATTTGATATTTAGCAGGAAAATACCATTAGGCCATGGGAATGAAAGTCATAGATTTGCGTCCGGGTAATTTTGAAAAAGTATGCGGCTTTTTTTCATTATTCATTATTTTTTCTCCATTGTTTTGGGTGGTAAATACAGAGATAAAAACACGAATTACCATACACACCATGGAATTACATATATCATGAGCTCACACGGTCGCAGCACTGAAGGATCGTGTGCCAATTTCGCCATTTTGGTGAATATAATTTGAAATTTCAAATGAATGTGGATACCAAGGAAAAACATACTGCAATATGTTCATTTCATTGCAATCAATACATAATTTTATTGCTAATTTTATTGAGTTTTGCTTTATTTGTGAAAATAATGAATTTTTTGTAAATAATGAAAATTTTAGGCAGTAACTTTTGAGGCACGAGGGCGGTGGACGCAAATCTATGACTTTCATTCCCATGGCCTTAATGGTAAATATTAAACATCATGGTTTTTACCAATTTACAATATGGGAAATAATAACAATAACGGTAAGAGTTCAGTTTTTACATTGATAGAAAACATGGTAAATCTTTAAAAAACATTTTTCCTATGAGTATCCCAAAAATGGTGGATTTTGGCCCATGTGAGAAAGGCTAATTAGTGTCCTATGATTCAGGTTAGTAAAATATAGGTACTACCCTGTCAATACTGTACTGAACAGTAGTTTGTACTTACAACCACTAGTGCTGAAGAAAATGTGTGCAAACAAATCAAACATATCAGCCTATAAAGGAAATCAAATTTACCATATTTGGGGATCAAATAACATTTTACAATTTCAATCAAATAACATTTTATGAGTTTGACTACGTTTAGCATTTCTATAGTGCTAATTGTAGGTTTTACTATACAAGTAATAATTCTTGACCTCTTTGAATCTAATAATTCACTCTGACTTACCATTGAAATCCTCACATCATCATCATCATCTTTACTGGTTAATCTTTTGTAAGCTTCAGAGATTTCTTGAAATTTCTAAAATGTTGTCATGATATTAATGCTGGTATTGTCAGTATCAGGAGTTTTATTGCAATATTGTTAATCACTATTTTTCAGCTTATACTCCAGCTGACAAAGCAAGACAAACTTTTGCTAAATTCTTTATCAAATTTTCATCTCCAATTTTAACCAAATTTAATACATTTGTCCTACAAAACTTCGACAGACACACATACAAATGTGGATGAAAACATAACCTCTTGTTTTGGTCAGTTTCAGTTGGATTTCAGTTCCGACAGGAGTTAACAACTCAATTGTTACCTCCACCAGCCCGGGAGGTTGCATTTAATGGAGTTTACAAACCTTTGTTGACTCAGTGCTATTGTTATGTTTATCAGGATGCCATTTCAATGCTAGTTTTTTGTAACTTGAACGAACTTCCTCTGGTGTGGAACCTAGAAAGAATAATTCAATTTTAATATCTGTAAAACAAGATGCCTGCTCAGGAGTTCACACTGGCCTTGCAGTTGGTAAAATACCATCGCAATATTCTAAAAAAATAATTTGAAATATGTGGATGTTCTTCACTTCTTGACGGCCGTCACTTCACGATCACAAACACTCACAGGACGGCACAATAAAAATCCATACAAAACCAATTTAGAGTTCAGCGAAATCTTATCGAAAAACACAGAAAAGTTCAAGTGCATGTGCAATATATGCGCTGATTACTATAATTATAACCCATTGAGCACCAGCACTCTCCCTTGGCAACTAAAATTGTCTGGCGTTAGACAGAGTAAAATAATAAAGTAGGGCCATATTAGGACGCAATGCAACTTGTGGGTTAAATTTAAAGTTCGATTAAACAGCTGCAATATGTAATTTGTGCATCAATTTGGTGAAATAAGGTCAGGTATTCTATTCTCATATACATCATTTTCTTGGAAATGTATTGAACACTGTGAATCATCTAAATCTCTTTAAATATATCAAAGAGCTAAATATTCATATGCCATCTGTATCATAACAATGGTTTGCTATTTATACGGCATTGCAATACACACGCATGGTAAACAAACTAGGGATGTGCCTGATATTTGCTGAATACTGGATGACTTTTCCTGTGTGGAAAGTTTGTATTGTGCGGCCGAGACATCGGCCATGCAATTGTGATGTTTTCTATATATTTATTATTAAAATTTTCAAAATCTTGGCCGCGCAATTTCCAAACGTTTCAGTCAGGGATGACACTAAATAGTAGTCAACTGGATACTGATGGTGGTGCCTGGACAATTGTCACTAACTTTTTTGTCATAAAACAGTCCATTCTTTGTTTAGTATATTGCACAAAAATCATCAGACAATATACAACAGAGAGCAGTTTACTTTGACTCATGTCTGGTAGACTAGTTGATGGTTTTGTGGTTCTAGTAATTTTTTACTGGATACTTATGATAATTGCAATGCATATAAACGGTTTAAACGCCAATAATAAAGAACTGTTATGATTTGTGATGTATAGCTCCTATTTTACGAGCTGCTAATTAACTATACACTGGTTTGCCGTTATAACTCTGCAGAAGAATAAACTTAAATCGCTTAGTTACACCACTGTGTTTATAAAAGGCTATTTAATAGGGGGAATATTATATTCCCAGATTTCCTGCTGTTCGACATGCGCGTAAATTTCAGTCATGCAAGCAACAAATAATTTGCAAAATAAAAGGCATATTAAAAGAAATAAGGAAAATAATTCACGTTAGAAAATCTTTAAGCATACCTTGACCTAGTTCAAGAATTTTCAGCGCTTCGGATTTGGTCATAACCATGTTTGCGCTGATTTGTTTTCAATTTCTTCAGTGTCACAGTGATTTTACACCGCCATGTTGGAAGGTTGCGCGAAAACAAAATTATCACGGACTGGGATCCATAAAATTGTAAAATAATTAGCATAATTATATGTAAAGGATGGTTTCCGAGACTCGACTACTCGAGTGCAATTTGGATAAAACATGCGGAGCCTGTCTCGCGCAGCCTGTCTAAAAGTGTGTGTGTGGGGGCAGGATAACACGGAATGGATTTTATCCGGTAATTTTTCTTATCCACCGAGAAAGTGGGGGGCGGGGCATGGCCCTCGGGCCCCCCTGTTGTGCCCCTGTCCCGCTGTCTCTACTCGAGTGAGTTTTTCCTTAGTTAATATGGTTTTTCAAAGAGCATCATGTCGGTCGAGTGCTATTTGAGATCTTTGAAAAACTCACGAGTGCATGTTTTATCCAAATTTCACGAGAAACCATCCTATTAGTATTACGTACTAATAATTTTCATTAAATACTGGCTACAAACGAGTGAGATTCGGTAAAGTGATGTCGTTTCAGGTCATTGTTAGGAAGGACAGGTACTTGCTCTGTCACTATTTTAATATTCTGCTAATATTGTATTAATCTTTAGCCACCCGTTTGATCAGTGTATATTGCGGAACCAATTAATTACATAACACAAGTGAACAATATGTTAAATCTCTAGCCATATAATTCATGAAGATTGCTGTAATTTAAAGGTCAGTTTACACTATCAAAGTTCCTGTGATCACAGTAGGAATTTTTCATAAATTAATTCTAAGTTTTGAAGGATCGGTAAGAAGTTTTTATGGCAACTGAGTCAACTGACACATTGTTTTAACACTGACTGAGTCAATTCCCTCAAACATTTCTTACAAATTCTTAGTCAAAACTTACAAGTTACCTATGCAAAATTCTTACTGTGATCACAGAAACTTCGGGCGCTTTCCATTTAATGGGCTGACCAGTCAGACCCGAATTATTTTCTCTGTATGAATGGAAAGGTCTGGTCTATGTTTCTCAAATATCTAGCGAAAATGAACCTCATTCTAATGTTACCTAAGTTTTTCGGTCACATAGGTCCAAAGCCTAAACGTTTTGTGTTCCATTCAACAACTTGACCGTTCTGACCGTGTTAATGGAAAGCACCCTTTGATAGTAATATAAACCAGCCTTGGCTTAGCAATTTTAAAGTCTTCATATGACGTGATACACACGTTCTGCGTGATCGAATGTTGTTGCATATCATGCGTGCAATATTGAATTAAAACACTTCCTGCATGTAATGTCAACGGTCATGTATAGGTAACCAATATACATCGTTGTCATGGGCAACGCCTATTGCAAGGACGATGGTAGAATATCGAAAAGGATGAGCTTTGTTACAACTGTAAAACATTTTATTGTTAAAGTGTGAAAACAGTTATTGTTGAACTGTATACACTGTTCGTAATTCGTGACCATTTCTGATCTTACGAGAGTATATAAACTAGCGTCAGACAAATGTGAGCTATTCATGACATACTAGAAGAATCATTAAAGTCAAAAGTCTGCATAGTCGATACAGATTTGATTGTAAGAATTTAAATATAAAGGTCGTAAGCTGTCCAAGTCATAAAAGCATCAATATAATTGTTCTATGTTGTTGAAAAGATTATTGAACTGATTATTTGTTAATTTGTAATATAAAATGGAGTCTATTCATCGAGAACACGGAAAAATAAAAGAGATAAATGCCGTCGAAGAAGCACGGGTCGAATCGTTGTTTGAAAAGCTGAAGTCAAATAAGTCTTCGACAATGGTTCAAGAAAACATCGAAAAATGTGAAATACAACTCGAGGAATGCGGTGCTGATATAGACGAGATTTTCATCAAGCTTTACGGTCAGCCTAGTCAGATTAGAAGCGCTGAAGAACAGCGAGAAATTATCAACAAAGAAAATGCGAGGCGTAAAAGAGCCAAGAGAATATCCAGTGAAAATGCAGACGATGGAAAAACAGTTGAGGAAAATGGAAATACCACGACTGAAATGGTGTTAATCGATGAAGATATCATAGAACAGGATTCTGTGACGCTCGAACAAGCTGAAGTAGATTGGGATGATCTTTTTGATGATTTGGATTCGTCAGAAACTGATGTGGAAACACCTCCAAACGGGTCCGACAGTTTTCTTTCATGTACTGTTCTGTGATTATGAATGATTCGTGATTGACATGCACATTTCGACGAGATTGAAACCTTTTTAAAATTTTAGTTTAGTACTTTCAATTTGTAAAAAAAACGGCTTATATTAAAATGTCAATAAAACCTGCAGTGGATAATTTATAATAGCTGTATGAATAAATATAACATTATACAAGAAGTAAAATACTGGAATATGTTGCCAAGTGAAGCCGGAACATCTGCTCAATACACGCTTCCGGAAAGTACGTCACCTTGGCCATAGAGCCTCGTTTTTTACGTACATGAAAGCGAGGCTCTATGGCCAAAGTGACGTACTTTCCGGAAGGATGTATTAGCCTTTCTCAAGCTGGGATTATTCACTGTTTTGGGGGGGGGAGTGCCTCCCCCCCCCCCCCAAGACACACACCACAAGTAGGAGAGTGTACACCAGGCATCTGAGAATGTGCGCACCGCGAAATGTGATTTTTTATCACTGTAGCTGTGTGTTAGTGTGTATGATCATATAATGGTAAATTTACAGTTACAACTTGGACAAGTCGCTTTTCACATTGTTTAGATTGTCCAGATTCACTGACGTGGGAAAACAGTACCCCAAAATGGCAGATATGAGGCCCGTGAGAAAGGTTAATTTTAGGTGTTCTCATGATCTCATCATTATGAAAGCAGCATTTTGGCAGCTGTTGTTATGAAATTTCCACTGGAATTTATCATCGACATCATCATACAGATCTTTGACGGTTCAAAAAAATTATTCTGCATGCACTCGACATAACGTATCATTTATATTTACAGGGTATAGTGAAAAATAGGCAGTCAAAAGGAGTATTCAATCAATTTCCGCATCTTTTAAATAATATTATACACTTTATTAAATATTTCAAAAGAAGCGGATCTAATTAATTAAATTAAATTCAGAACAGCTAAATCAACTCAAACGCCTCTTTGAGCAATCATGGTGTCTAGCGAATCATTATACATCTTCTGCAATCTGCATATAATAGGCAATATTTTGCTGAAATTTATCTTCCAAAAACCGAACTATTCAAAGCAAAAAGTAGCAATCTTGTATTCAATACGCGATTACTCGCTTGAACGCTTTCCTTTTTTCTTTAATGAAATGCAAGAATGTGTATTTGAAACAGAACATGTTAAACATAGACTCCAGGCTAGTTCTGGTACATTCCGTATGACATTTTTGGCAGTATATAGAGACAACCTCTCGAGAAACCACTTATTGCAATTGACTCCAGTTATTTCGTCTGAAAATTGGCATATACGTGTTCATACATTGTATATTGGTATAAAGAATAAATACATTGTTGCTGAGTATTAACAGTGGCTAACAAGTTAATCGTTTGCACAGGTAAGTACTTTTATCAATGCTATAGTTTGCCGACATTGTCGGTATTAATGCTTGTCAAGGCCAGCTTTTGACATTCCTAAAAGGTCCTCTTAGGGGCAAACGCGGAAGCGTGCTCATCAATATTAGGAGTTGCAATACTTTCAGCTCTCGTTTCTAGTAACTTTCGCCGACTTTCGTTGAGTCAAATTTTAATGAGATTCAACTTGAGTCTGCCTTTCGTTTTAATATGTTTTATCCTGGGAATTAGTATTACTAGAGTTTTGCCTTGGCCTGTTTTACGTGTCACGCGAAAGTCGCATAATCGCATTACAGTTCAGACTGATACATAGGTCATAGTCATACTATAAGCAGTGTATCACGCTTGGGATGATAATTTTAAAGACTTTTAAAGACTGGAGATTTAAGTCAGGAATGCTTCAGTCCCGGCGGTATTCGTGTCAGAAAAAATATCTATACAAGTAAAAGGTATTATACTATAGTGCTTGGGATAAAATTTTAATGACTTGCTATAATGGTTGAAGGCTGGTGTGGTATTCGTGTGAGTAAGGGTATCAATCGTCCCAACTCTCAAGAGAATACTATTACTGGTGGCCTAGTTTAGCTTCAGTTTGTAAACATGGGCCATCCTAACCATTTTCATTGAGCAGTTTAACTTTAACTTGAACTCTTGTATATAACGTATAAGTACATGTGGTTCTGTGTGAGAGAGTTGCTGCAATTTGCAGCAAACATAAACAAGTCAAAGAAATGCTTCTAACATATCATACCTATAATAGTCACCAAATGGACAATACATGCAAGATAGATAGATAAATAGTTAACAGCGTTATCTGACTAAATTGATTTATAAGCTGCATATATAGCTAATACGTGGGGGATTTGGTTTAATCTCAAGACAAAGCTTCTCATATTAAGATTTTATCTTTAGTTTTTCAATCTGAAGAGTAATTTCAAGAAGCCAAAGCTATTCAGTGTTGTTGCATTAACTAGTGAATCTAAAACTCGATCGAATGGCAGCAATTTATCAAAATTATTCGAAGGAAATAGTATACGAATAACACTGTTAAAACAATAAAATATTTGATGCTAAATATTCGATGTCGTGATGAACGAAACTGATATATTGTGTGATTCTGACCATGAGTTTATTTATGAAACAATTAATCAGTGTTCTAATTAAAATCTAATTAGTTAATTCATTGTAATTAGTCAGTTGCCTTGACATATTGATAAATGATTCTCTAGTAGAAACAAAATGGGACTTTTTAACTTCTTCTGTATGGCCAAACTACACCACTTGAATAGCTAGTTGCATGTCTAACATTCACACGAACGGTAGAATGACATCATAGTTAAAGAATTCACAGTAAGCTGACAGTGACTGACGCATAGTGTGTTAGTGACGGTGTGGGGGTGTCGGTTACAAAACACAAAAACGACCACAAGCTTAATAAAAACTGTACTTTCAATGAAAGCGCTGCCTAAATAGACCAATTCGAAAAACAGTTGTCATTCTTTTCTCTTCCGAAATTAATTTCAACCAAGGTAATCGCTGCCGCCTTATAGAATACTTCAAGATCAACAGTTTTACAAAGTATAAATATAATGCCATGTATTGTCTTTGTGAAATTAAACATTAAAAATAGCGACGATTATGCTAGATTCAAACAAGACTGGCTAACCTCGTTTTGGTGCACGCTTAAGTTCGTTGCATGGATTATACATGAAATATAAAATAATTTGAATCGGTCAGTATTTCTGCAGTTTCTAACCGAACAAGATTATTCAGTTGCTAGGGGATTTACGGCCCGAGGGGCGTATCGCTCCGAAAACATTTTCCGGGATTCTTTTTTATTTTTTGAGATATTTGGATTTTCCTGAATTTATATTGTGATTTGTATAGAGATTTGTAGGGATTTTATAGGGACTTTTAGGGATTTTCAGCGTTTTATTTTACAGATTTCTTGGGAACTAGGGGTTTATACTGAATGGAATGATACAACTCTCGATTCCTCGTGATACGATGTCAATGTGAAGAAATATCTTCATGCAATATTTCATAATATTGCCAAGTTTTTATTTTTCTGTTTGATAGTTGTTTGTTTTGTTAGTCCCTCACTGCAAACAAAGAATTTTTCCCCCGTAGGTGTACACCGGAGAACTTGAAAGTAAATATGCATGCTATTGCCTATGATCGGAAATAAACTGATTGCCATGGTAACATCAGGCAGGGTTCTATCAAAGTATGCCGTTTTAATTGTATCAAGAAAAGATTTAGGAGCTTACCAGCCTGAAACTAACCTTGTTCAGATTAATTACATAGTATAACTTATTGGATTCTTCTGTGCCCAACATGAAGTCGAGAATTCAATATTGAAGTCGAGACGACTTCGAGCCCAATATTCAACGCATGACAACTTCAAAGATGTCATTAAATAATGGTTAATGCGCTAACCACGATTCCTATACAGAATGTTATCCATGTTATCATCAGGCACAGTTGCTTGACCAAATTTTTCTCACGCGTTGAGCGGGACCACCAACTGTTCTGTGTTTTAGTTTTGTGATGTAAATGAACTGCTTCGGTCATTAAGATAAACTCCTGCTGGTTTTTAATGTGAAATTGAGCATAAGTTTAGTGAAGGGTAATTATAATGGGGAAGAAAAAACAATTATATAATCAAACAGCATAATAATACACATTCAAGGCCATAACTTTTCACATGCATACCTTTGAATTTATGTCCAAATTTAGGGGAAGAACCCCGGTTCCTGTATGCAGCTTGTATCGAGTCTATAGAGATTCTGATAAAGAGCTATACTAATACTAGTAATACACACTTTAGCAAACGTTTTTGTAGACGATGCTTCCTTGTTTCGCATTTTTCGATATCTCGCATGACTATTTACTATTATTCCAGTGTACGAAAGCATAACATAAAAAATAGGTAACTATTACTAAGTATTGGACTATTATGTATAAAACTATAGATAATTCTATTGCTTGATTACCTTTTGTTCTATTTCATATTTCCTTAAGCTAAAACACTCTTGACTATACATGCGGTCATGTGAGTTATCCAAGCAAGTACGTGCAGGTATTAGTTGAATCTATGAATGTGACTTTCTCTACGAATGGCACGAGATTTATCTTATTGAAGTTAATATACCTTTATTAGATAAACTTTTAAAATGATAGCATAATATTCTACAAAGTGGTACCAACCCCAAATATGATTTTTGGTATGTGTAATATTTGAGTCATTCTCTGAAGAAATGTAATAGATCTTTATAGTAAAACGCATAATCGTGATGACTGTTAAACCTTCCGGATATGACGTTTTAGATGAATTTTGGAACAAAAAATAATTTACAATTCATCTAACGACATCATATCCGGCAACTTAGAGCGGGAAAAAGTTGGTCATGATTAGGTTTTTACTACAAAGATATATCCCATTTCTTCTAAGAATAATCCAAATATTACACATACAAAAAATCGTAGTTAGAGTTAATATAGCACTTTAAAAGTTTTCCATATCTCATTAGATTCCATTTTCGAGATATTGATCTTGGTTCGATATGGAAATAAGTTGCATAACATCTGTCAAAATCTTCACTCTATATTTCTGGCAAACCTTGCCAAAAAAATATACTTTTGTGATAATTCATTGTACAGTGTCACCTTGTTATTTGTATTTTGAATGGTGATTTCGTACACTGTTAAATTCACCTGTAAAAGTTGATTCGAGCGGGATTTGAACTCGTACCTTTGGTCAGTCAGCTCTGAAGCAAGAACTTGTGTCATTCGGCGTATGAGAAAAGTGAAGTCAAGCGGCGTTCATTTGCTAGTTGTTTGTATTGATTAAGTGAAATTCCGTTAGAGCGTCAGGCTAGCAGCTAGCAGCGTTGAACTTGGGCAGTTTTCCTAACTTAGGTCTTACAGCTTCTACAAGCAAAACAATCAATTCATTCATATGGTATTACAAATGTCATACGAACATCCTTTCCAGGCTTTTAAATTTCATATTTAAACTGTTCCCTCTGTTAATCTAGATATTGAGTGATCAATGGCCGGGATTAAACTACTGAGTATAAAGAGAAACGAAGAAGCTTCGTATTTCTATGAAAACAATGTCTCCACAACTCTCGACTCGAACAGAAATGAAGTTGTTGGAGTTCAAGAAAATCACAAGGCTCCCCAAATTTCCAAGAAATCAAGAAAACAGGATGAAAGAAGATCCAAGAAAGAGGAGAAACAAAAAATAAAGGAAACGAAACAACGCGAAAAGGAAAAGAAGAAATCGTTGAAAAATTCTCGGAAAGAAGTCGTGGGAAGTGTCGACACAGCTAGATCAAGCGATCGCGCCCGGATCAAAACTAACGGTGACGTCAAAAGTAACGGAGGTTTCCAAGTTGGGATGGATGTTGGCGAAGCAGCAGAGAACAAGAATGAACAATCGTTGAATGCCCACGAAGAAGACAGGAATGAAAACGAAGAAGACAGGAATGAAAACGAAGAATCTAAGGAAGAGCACGATCTAACAATTAGACTCGAGCACGAAGAAGCGTCGAACCAGGACGAAGATTTAAGTAAAGAGCACGAAGGAGTAAGCAGCGAACACGAGTCATCAATAAAAATACACGAATCAACTCAATTAGAGATTACAGCACACGTAACCTCTAGTGAAGAACCCGGAGTTTCCGGTGAAACACACGCAACTTCGAGTGACAGACACGCTGATCTGGAGCTTCGTTCCGAAAACTGCGTGGAAGAAACCATCACAGTGGATAGTGTTCAAACTACAGAAGAAGCTCCCAAGGAATTCTCTCATCAACCGAAGGTTAACCCTGATATCCCTGAACCGACAGGAGGACAGCATCTTGAAATTGAAATATCCGATGTCACCGATCTTGACGCCGACGCATCAAGCTCGGATCAAGTGATAGTCGTGCAAAATAACCTCCAGACCTCTACATACCCAAGTAGCCCGGCCAGCGAGGGTCAGATCCTGGTTGCGACAGTTCAGCAAGTTGAAAGTTGTGTCGACTTGGATGGTATTTTTGCTGAATGCAATGCACCGACGAACGAAGAGGATAAAGAAGAGAAACGAAAGAGTGTTCGCTTTCAGGAAGAGACTGAAGAAATCGGACACGGCGAAGTCGAGTCGGAAGATCACGAGCATGCGTCGATGAACCTCGGAGGCGACTTTTCAGGCACTACTGATGACGACAGCGTCGAGCGACCGCAAACATTACAGCCTGCGGTTGACGTCGTGAATAAAGAGGAAGGAAGAAAAGTGGAAAGTTGTGTTGACCTGGATCACGTTTTTGCACCATCCGAACAAGCGAGTGATATCGAAACAGTTCCCGAAGAAAATCATGTCGGAGTGGGTAAAGTGAACGGCAGTGCTAAAGTCAACGGTAAAGCGAATCTCAGCAACAGTGGTACTAAGACGGACGATTTGGTAGAAATACGTTTGGACGAATCAAACGAACACACGAATACTACAAGGAAGAAAAAGGAGAAACGTAACAGAAGTGGATTCAGGACATGTTGCTTCCCGTGAAACGATAAACAACTGCAAATAACAAACAAACAAACAAACAAACACGATGAAGCAATGTTGTTTACATTATAAGAACAGAAAACAAACAATATATTTGCGAGAAAAAAAAAGAAAACTCAGGCAAACAAGTAAACAACTAAAAGTAATCAACTGTATCATTAAACAGTAAATTGAATCGTTAAACAGTAAATGCATGTAAAAAGGAGCAGTCAAAAATATTATCAAATTCGTCAGTTAGTAGCAGCAGAATAACAAAGATTTTGGGACTATAATAATTGTATTGAAGATTGTAATTTGTCACTCTCTTAATTCAAAAGATTGAAATTTCGATGTATCGTTTTTGCAACTGTTTGTAAGCCGGACAAATATATATAGTTTAGTGATTGAAATTGAATCTCAAACATTTGAAAATAACTTGAGTGCACAGGTTTCAGAGAGGAACAATATTCTTGAAGGATTGAGAATCTGACGTGAAAAATACAACACAAAACAAATTTCTTTTTATATTTTCAGGTATATAGTTTACATTCTTAATCCTTCACGAATATCAAGCATTTGAAAGTTGTTTTCTCATGATTGAAATTTGCAATTTTTCAATCAATTCGAGATTTCAGTCATGTAAATGGTGGAAAAGAGCGGTGAAGATTAAAAAATATTAACTTCTCTATAGGTTGTTTGAATTGAGTTAAGAGAGAGAGAGAAATACAACTGACTAAGTTCATTGCCCTGGCATAATAACACTTCATATAATTGTTGTACATATTTAAATTTTAATATCCTGGCAATAACAGGCATAGCTATATAAATACTGATCGCGCATTTTAGTTCAATTTTGCATATTCATTGTTTTCCCTACAAGCTTATCTGACAAAGTGCTTTACGTAAAACGCGTACGGATGTTAAAGATTGCAAAACATTTGAAGAATAAAGAACTCTGTATATTACTGTAAGTGTGAATAGAGTCGGCAGATCTTATGTAAACATCCATCCTTAGCAACAACGTACTATCATACGGCCTTATGAATACTGATATTCCAACATGTCCAAATTATGGAAATTAAGTTAAAGGTATTTCAGTTAATGCTTTTAGAGGAGATTTTTAAAGAAAATCAACGTTTCGACCCTATATATAGTCTAGAACCGTCAGATTATAGGAGAAAACCAGAGTAAGAGTACCAGGAAAATATCTTCCAACACGAACCCCAGATGCGAAAGTAGCAACACCCATAGCAGAGGACAAAACTTGTTCTTACCTTGACAAAATGAATTTCGTGACAATTATAAACTGCGTGCGGCGATGAGATTTTCAATACAATATACTAAGCTGTATTTTATATGTATCCGCCTAGCCTATTTTGGTGACACCTACAACTGATATTGGCCCTATAGCGACATTAATTTCGCTCTTAATTCCTATTGTCATTGTATTCATAAGTATAATTAAAAAGTCCTTAAAGTTGTAAAGAGACACTTAGAAACAGATACAGGCAGCAGCCGTGCCGGACACTTCGCGAAATATATTGACGATGAAATTAAATAGAGTTGTCGATAATTATATCGATAATAAGTAAAGACTGATTTTCATAAATGGCACAAAAGACAAATGGCACAAAGATGTGTTCAGATAACCCTGAGGTTTAATCCAGGGTTGGTGGGTGGGGGCAAACTTTTGAGTCCCCCCCCCAACCTGCAGATAGAGCTAGTTACGTCCCTGGTTTAATCATAAACAGGGGGTCGGACTATGTACAAATCCTCAGTTTCATAATGAAGAAGAATTGTCGATCTATATGCATGGTCACATAGAAGCTCTCCGGAAACACTGGAATGAAAAGAGCTGTGATGTGAGAGAGATGCAATGAAAAATATAAGTGGAATTTCGGCGTTTTGAGCAAAGGCCCTTTCGTCGGGATGTTAGTGCTGCCGAACTTCCCGAGTTGTCTCTCACGCTGCTGCTGCATGTTTGGAAGAAATTAAAATAATTTATTGTACAATGAAAGACGTGCCTTTCATTAAATTTTATCGTTGTTTTTTTAGCACTTCCCTAATCAAAACAACTAACCCAATATCATATGTTATATCACATATATTTAAAATTTAGTAAATGATATATTGATCTTACGCATTGTATTTTATGTATTCATAGCATTTCAAAAACACTTGTTGAATTCAAAATTTGCCGCGAATTTATCATAATGATAAATTCGGACGTGTTTAAGAATTTACTCATATAGTAAATTCAAAGGTGGAGCTCATGCTGTAAAAACATCTAATCCGTTCTTCACGACGAAAACCCTTCATTCTGTAATGACGCCCTTGACTGGCCCCGGTGGTAGATTGAACGTACAGAATAATGCATTGACCTTCCACATGATGATGCTATAATCGGTTAATATGGTAGTACAGATATAATTTCGTGTGCTTAAGCAGTTAGCTCAAACATTAGTCTGTAGCTATACCACCCACTCATAGTAACATGGCCCTAAATAGTAATTATACATTATTTAAATTTTGAAAAGGATTTAAGTCCTTATGAAATAGACATGCAATAGAAGTTTTCATTGTCGGCGCTTTTCCCCTCAAACATTATGTATCCGCTTTTTCCCAAATAAAGATCTGAAGCGAATGCTGTGTTGTCACCGCTTATTCGTTCTGCTTATTCCCAGTTGTTTGTAACAAGTCTGGAACAAGTTTTTGTCACCTTGTTACAAGGTTGATGACGGTAACAGACTTGCTACAAGTTGTTCCAACAAGACTAACACAGGCTGTTCGTAACAAGTTCGTACGAGCTTGTTATTATATCAACGTGTTAATAACTATATAGTTACATGCAGACGGTTTTTTCAACAGTTGCAAGTCTGTTGCCCAGACGACAACAATTTGTTCCAGACTTGTCAACAACTGCGGAGACATATCGTTGACAAGCTGTAAGAGTGTAGGTTATCTCGTCACGTTTCTCATACATGGTTAAATAGGGATAGATTTGGGCTCATGGAAGACTAATAAAAAATACATTCGCGAAACTTTGAAAAATGAGGATATTACCCAAATCTATAAAACTGTTCGATTTTTGCCCTGTGTGCACTTCCTAAATCAAGCGAGTAAAATTTTCTCCCCAATGATATTCTTTAGAATATAATAATAATTTCTTTTTTGGTTAATAAAGAAATGCCATGTTTAAGCCAGCATGAGGCGTGACACAATGCAGTGAATCAACTTTATACTTAACCTTGGTTAAACTTTCCGCAAACATGTTGCTAAGGCTGGTTTAAGTTCTTCATTAAAACATTTGCCGTTCAATTCGGTTCTTTTGTACAGCAAACAGTTTCGTTTGTTTTGAGTGATACAATCATATCGCATCCTCTTGCACTTCACTTTAACCGACCAACTGATGGTCATTTAATGTCACTTTGGTGTCATGGCAACTGCAATAACACCATGCATCCTGTCATTTATAAAGCAGACTCTAAATACTTGAACATTTCATTCACAACTGTGCACGCTTGCACACAGAACTTAAAAAAAAGAAAAACGTTGATTTTAACTTTAAAAAAGATTAATAAAATATTAAAAACAAAATTTTAGTTTTGCTTTTCATAACAGATCGGTTTGTTCCATAATGAAATATGGACTTTGTTTCATTATCTGTAACCTGTTTTCAAATATACTTTTTCTCGCTAATGCGGCTCACCACGGAGTCCAAGGGGGCAGAAGATGCAAAGGCAAGGCATATTATACGCTAACATTTCAAGCAGAATGGAGCAACGAGACGCATCCGTCACCAGTATTCCCACAGAATGCAACGTTTTCACCACTTATTGGAGGCACGCACAGTTCCACATACGAAATGTGGCGAAGAGGGCAAAACGCTTCGCTTGGCGTACAGCAAGTTGCCGAAACTGGTAAGTGAACATTTTATACTTATTTAGGTGTTTGACTTTGCGATTTACTACTCTAATCTTCAAGCGGAAAGAGCGCTGGCGCCCAATGGGTTAAGTATCATGCTTTTGGACTAAATATTCGGTTCAGCAAAACAAATTTCTAGCACATTTTGTGCTGTCGATGGAGCAAATACAATTATAGCCAAACCAGGATCCATGAATCAGTATATTTATGTCTGGAGTTGGCAACCAAGTGGTTTGGTAATATCTAAGGTTGATCAAAGGACTGGATAAAAGAGTTTTACTTTTTGTGCAGTTGATGGTAAAAACAAAATTATTGGCAATTATTGCCAATCTGCGTTCCATAATTGTATAACAAAGGCTACTAAAATGCTTAATATTTAAAGCTACTATATTCCGATTATTTATGTCTGGGGTTAGTATATATACCTGCATATTTGGTAGGGTGATCGGCATTTTATCGACTCAAAGTTGAAAGATTGCAGGATAGAATAAGATTTGAGTGCTTTATGTGCAGTTTGATACAGAATACTATGTTAATGAATAAATACCTGGATGATGATTGTGTAAAAAACACGATTTCCACCCCTATTTGGGGTAGCACAAAAATGGAACGCTGTTTTTAGTTTCAATCGCTACTAACGCAGGTTCAAGTTTGGCATCACCAAATACCACAAATGTAATTTCGCAGATAGTGCTGTTTTCTGATGCTCGCGAGCAATTTGACTGATAGAGCACTCCACATTCCAGAGTGATTACGTTTGTAATAAAGTCATTATACTTCCCTAATAGTTTCTTATTATCCATGTAATGGTACATAAAACTTATTCTGGTCTATTCAAATTAGCATGGCTTTCCGGGCTACTCCCCTTAGAACATCACGCAAACATACATATAAGGCACCCGTGATATGACGTGCACGTATTACTTATTATACTTCTATAATTACACTTATATACACTATGTCCTTCACTGAGTAGCATTATTGTTTTACGGTTTTGTTCAATTGAGGCCAGAAGCGGTCAGTGTATAAAATCTTAGCTCAAAAAAGGACCTAGTTAAATCGACAGAAAATTTACAATTTAGACCAGACTTTTTGTATGCATGTGCAAAAATTCCCATTTTCAATTTTGAATATATTTTTGCCAATTTTATATATATCCACTATTTTCGAAAACGGCTTCAGAATATCTGTCTAACATACAAAACATATAACAATATAAAAAGTTTGAGAATTTAATTTTCACAAAATATGCGAGTCACCACATCGTTTTTCTTAGCTACAAGCCAAAGTTAAAACATCCGCCCATTGTTTCCATAATAATGACATGCAGTTACGTAACTGTCGTTATTTGTATAGTCTTTGTACACAGTAAACGTAGTCTTAGAAAGATGTTAAAATACTCTTTGTATTCTTTTTCAGCAAGCAATAATTGTCATAAGTTCGGATGTTAATGATAAATTTTCCTCTTCTAAAAACAGAGCGGAGCTGTCATTTTAAATTCTGAAAAAGTGTTTGAGCTTGGTATTACACCCTCTTACTTCGCTTACGAGTTACGGTCATTTTCGCACTCGAGGCAACGTGCCAAAGACCTTATGCATGTTTAGTTAAGAACCCTGGAAATCATTTATGAAAACTATAGACTCGGTATGGGGCATTTTTGTGTCCAGTACATCCGTTTCAGCGTGCATATAAAGAAGTCGTTGCAAAGAGACGTACATGCGTGTTATTAAGCAATTAATTCACATTATACCGTCTCAAACTCATTAATAATTCATAAGTAAAACAGCCAACCATATTGCCTTATTTTGCTCGCATGATAATACCGGATACCTGATGAAGTATATTGATCCAGTCCTAAAACTGGATCAAACTTAATGCGGTCCTTAGCCTGGATCAAAATTAAATCACCTCACTTTAAGCTAAGTGGTGATATATTCGTACGAGATGTCATTTCAAATACTTCAATTCGGATTGGACTAGATTTCAAGTCCTCGTATTTTGATCCAGTCCTCGGCTTCGCCTCGACTTGAAATATAGTCCAGTCCTCATAGTCAGATTTGAAATATTACATATACCATGCCATCCCATATTATACCATATTACACCAATAATACCATGCCTTACTATACCTTAAGATTCCATGCCACCATATACCATATCATACACCATATCGCATTTTTTGTCTTGACATCTCTACCCCCATATTTATTGTCTTATTTAACAAAGCCTTATTTCAAAGACTAATAAATATCTTCTAACATTACCTTCCCGCTCTTCAATTGATGATTCCCTTTATTACGTTTTCGTAGCGCTTTGCATTGTCGTTATAGTGGTATCACTGATAACGATAGCGGCCTCGAATGAAAATATTGAATGTTTTCGCGAATATTTTGCTGTTGGCTATCGCGCACCTGACCCCAGCTTTTTTTAAAAGTTCTTGCACGGCTCAGGACAAAAAATAAGCCATCTTAAATATCAGTGATACCACAATAACCACAATGCAAAGCGCTACGAAAACGTAATAAGGGGAATCGTCAATTGCCTACTTGGTACTACTTCTATTTTTACATTTAAGGAAACTTCAGTATTCTTTACAAGGAACTGTACGGTCAACTTCGCTACGGAAATGTGAAATCAGTGATCAAAGCCGATGGTCCAACCAAGACACCAGGAAACACAACATTGATGGACATTCATGTTGATGAAGATCGTTCATTAGTTTCGGTAATAACAATGATCTTCCCATCACCAGATTGGTTCTTGGGAATATCAAATGTTGATATGTGTAACCCAATCACAGGAGAATGGAGAGACGAATATTCCCGCGACTTGTTGCCCTACGATTCTGGTACTGACGATGGCACTTCGTTTGAAAGTCCAGACTCAGTGTCTGATCCTCGAGGAAATATAACACTCATCAGTAAAGAAGATGATACGAATTTCAAGACCAATTCCTCAATCATACGTCTTGGTACCTTCACTTTTACCAAAATACCAACAAAGAAGTGCAAAGGAAATGCTTATTACTCTTTGACATTTTATGCAAAATGGAGCAACGAGACACACCCGTCGCCAGTATTCCCAGAGAATGCAACATTTTCACCACTTATTGGAGCAACACATAACATGAACTACGAGATGTGGCGTCGAGGAAAAATGGCATCACTCGGAGTTCAAACTGTCGCTGAGACAGGTAGATATTATTTTCAGATATCATAAAAACTTATTTTCAATTTTCTGCAATTAAGTAAAGAAATTGTTGAAAAGTAGTGTAAATTATTTTAGTTTGATATCTTGTGTTCGAGTAAGATTTTCTTTTATTTCAACTGAATAATTTTAAAATCTTTCTTGTCTTTTACCATTTCCAGTATTCGTCAGAATCATGTTTCTTTTTCTGTTCAACGCACAATTCGCACTTCTTTCTGATTCTTCCGTATAGTGTAACTCTTCCTTCTCCTATTCTTAAGTTTCTCTCCATTGGAAAAATTCCTTTTATGTTCACAAACATGTTACATACTAACTATTTTTTCCGCCTTCTATTTCATAGGAGATCCAAGTGTTCTTGCTAAAGAAATCTACCGTCAACATCGCTATGGAAACGTTAAATCGCGCATCCGAGGAGATGGTACCGTTCAAACTCCAGGAAACACAACATTAATGGATATTCATGCGGATGAAGATCGTTCGTTAGTCTCTGTAATAACCATGATCTTCCCATCACCAGATTGGTTCCTGGGAATATCAAATGTTGATATGTGTAACCCAATGACAGGAGAATGGAGAGAAGAATATTCCCGCGACTTGCTGCCCTACGATTCTGGTACTGACGATGGCACTTCGTTCGAAAGTCCAAACTCAGCGTCTGATCCACGAAAGAATATCTTCCTCATAGGAAATGAAGATGATACAAACTTCAGAAGTGATTCTAAAATTGAACCTCTCGGCACATTCAAGTTCACGAAGGTGCCAACAAAGAAGTGCAAAGGAAAGGCTTATTACTCTTTGACATTTTATGCAAAATGGAGCAACGAGACACACCCGTCGCCAGTATTCCCAGAAAATGCAACATTTTCACCACTTATTGGAGCAACACATAACATGAACTACGAGATGTGGCGTCGAGGAAAAATGGCATCCCTCGGAGTTCAAACCGTCGCCGAGACAGGTAGATATTATTTTCAGACATCATAAAAACTTATTTTTTAATTTTCTGCAGTTTAATAAATAAAGAAAATGTTGAATTGTTGTGTCGATTATTTTAGTTTGATACCTTGTGTTGGAGTAACATTTTTTTATCAACAAAGTTTAAAAATCTTTCTAGTCTTTCCGCATTTCAAGTATTCACTAGAATCATGTTTCGTTTTCTGTTCAATGCAAAACTGTCACATCTTTCCAAATCTTTCGTATAGTGTAACTCTTTCTTCTCCTCTTCTTAAGTTTTTCTCCATTGGAAACATTTCCTTTTTTTGTTCACCAACATGATACGTACAAAATATTTTTCCGCCTTCTATTTCATAGGAGATCCAAGTGTTCTTGCTAAAGAAATCTACCGTCAACATCGCTATGGAAACGTTAAATCGCGCATTCGAGGAGATGGTACCGTTCAAACACCAGGAAACACAACATTGATGGATATTCATGTTGATGAAGATCGCTCTTTAGTGTCTGTAATAACCATGATATTCCCATCACCAGATTGGTTCCTGGGAATATCGAATGTTGACATGTGTAATCCAATGACAGGAGAATGGAGAGAAGAATATTCCCGCGACTTGTTGCCCTATGATTCAGGTACAGATAATGGCACTTCGTTTGAAAGCCGAAATTCGGCTTCTGATCCACGAAAGAATATCTTCCTCATAGGAAATGAAGATGATACTAACTTCAAAAGTGATTCTAAAATTGAACCTCTCGGCACATTCAAGTTCACGAAGGTGCCAACAAAGAAGTGCAAAGGAAAGGCTTATTATTCTTTGACATTTTATGCAAAATGGAGCAACGAGACACATCCGTCGCAAGTATTCCCAGAGAATGCCACATTCTCACCACTTATTGGAGCAACACATAACATGAACTACGAGATGTGGCGTCGAGGTAAAATGGCATCACTCGGAGTTCAAACTGTCGCAGAGACAGGTAGATATTATTTTTTGATATCATAAAAACTTATTTTTTAATTTTCTGCAGTTAAATAATGAAATTGTTTAATTGTTGTGTCAATTATTTTAGTTTGATACCTTGTGTTGGAGTAAGATTTTCTTTTTTATCACCTAAAGAGTTTTAAAATCGTTCTTGTCTTTCACGCATTTCCAGTATTTTTAAGAATCATGTTTCGTTTTCTGTTCAATGCAAAACTGTTATTTCTTTCCTTTCATTCCTATACTGTAACTCCTTCTTCTCCTCTTCTTATCTTTCCCCACGGTGGAAACATTTTCTTTTCATGTTCACAAACACGTTACATACTAAGTATTTTTCCGTCTTCTATTTCATAGGAAATCCAAGTGTTCTTGCTAAAGAAATATACCGCCAACATCGCTATGGAAACGTCAAATCGCGCATCCGAGGAGATGGTACCGTTCAAACTCCAGGAAATACATCATTAATGGATATTCATGTTGATGAAGATCGCTCTTTAGTGTCTGTAATAACCATGATCTTTCCATCACCAGATTGGTTCCTGGGAATATCGAATGTTGATATGTGTAATCCAATGACAGGAGAATGGAGAGAAGAATATTCCCGCGACTTATTGCCCTACGATTCTGGTACTGACGATGGCACTTCGTTTGAAAGTCCAAACTCAGCGTCTGATCCACGAAAGAATATCTTCCTCATAGGAAATGAAGATGATACAAACTTCAAAAGCGATTCTAAAATTGAACCTCTCGGAACATTCAAGTTCAGGAAGGTGCCAACAAAGAAGTGCAAAGGAAAGGCTTATTATACTTTGACATTTTATGCAAAATGGAGCAACGAGACACATCCGTCGCCAGTATTCCCAGAGAATGCAACATTCTCACCACTTATTGGAGCAACACATAACATGTACTACGAGATGTGGCGTCGAGGAAAAATGGCATCACTCGGAGTTCAAACTGTCGCAGAGACAGGTAGATATTATTTTCTGATATCATCAAAACTTATTTTTTAATTTTCTGCAGTTAAATAATGAAATTGTTTAATTGTTGTGTGAATTATTTTAGTTTGATACCTTGTGTTGGAGTAAGATTTTCTTTTTTATCAACTAAATAGTTTTAAAATCTTTCTTGTCTTTCACGCATTTCCAGTATTTTTAAGAATCATGTTTCGTTTTCTGTTCAATGCAAAACTGTCATTTCTTTCCTTTCATTCCTATAGTGTAACTGTTTCTTATCCTCTCCTTATCTTTCCCCACGGTGGAAACATTTTCTTTTCATGTTCACAAACACGTTACATACTAAGTATTTTTCCGCCTTCTATTTCATAGGAAATCCAAGTGTTCTTGCTAAAGAAATATACCGCCAACATCGCTATGGAAACGTCAAATCGCGCATCCGAGGAGATGGTACCGTTCAAACTCCAGGGAACACGACATTGATGGATATTCATGTTGATCAAGATCGTTCGTTAGTTTCTGTAATAACAATGATCTTCCCATCACCAGATTGGTTCCTGGGAATATCAAATGTTGATATGTGTAACCCAATGACAGGAGAATGGAGAGAAGAATATTCCCGCGACTTGTTGCCGTACGATTCTGGTACTGACGATGGCACTTCGTTTGAAAGTCCAGATTCAGAGTCTGATCCACGAAAGAATATCTTCCTCATAGGAAATGAAGATGATACTAACTTCAAAAGTGATTCTAAAATTGAACCTCTCGGCACATTCAAGTTCACGAAGGTGCCAACAAAGAAGTGCAAAGGAAAGGCTTATTATTCTTTGACATTTTATGCAAAATGGAGCAACGAGACACACCCGTCACCAGTATTTCCAGAGAATGCAACATTTTCACCACTTATTGGAGCAACACATAACATGAACTACGAGATGTGGCGTAGAGGAAAAATGGCATCACTCGGAGTTCAAACCGTCGCCGAGACAGGTAGATATTATTTTCAGATATCATAAAATCTTTTTGTTAATTTTCTGCAGTTTAATAAATAAAGAAAATGTTGAATTGTTGTGTCGATTATTTTAGTTTGATATCTTGTGTTGGAGTAACATTTTTTTATCAACAAAGTTTAAAAATCTTTCTAGTCTTTCCGCATTTCAAGTATTCACTAGAATCATGTTTCGTTTTCTGTTCAATGCAAAACTGTCACATCTTTCCAAATCTTTCGTATAGTGTAACTCTTTCTTCTCCTCTTCTTAAGTTTCTCTCCATTGGAAACACTTCCTTTTTTTGTTCACCAACATGTTACATACTAAATATTTTTCCGCCTTCTATTTCATAGGAGATCCAAGCGTTCTTGCTAAAGAAATCTACCGTCAACATCGCTATGGAAACGTTAAATCGCGCATTCGAGGAGATGGTACCGTTCAAACACCAGGAAACACAACATTAATGGATATTCACGTTGATGAAGATCGCTCTTTAGTGTCTGTAATAACCATGATCTTCCCATCACCAGATTGGTTCCTGGGAATATCAAATGTTGATATGTGTAACCCAATGACAGGAGAATGGAGAGAAGAATATTCCCGCGACTTGCTGCCCTACGATTCTGGTACTGACGATGGCACTTCGTTCGAAAGTCCAAACTCAGCGTCTGATCCACGAAAGAATATTTTCCTCATAGGAAATGAAGATGATACAAACTTCAAAAGTGATTCTAAAATTGAACCTCTCGGCACATTCAAGTTCACGAAGGTGCCAACAAAGAAGTGCAAAGGAAAGGCTTATTATTCTTTGACATTTTATGCAAAATGGAGCAACGAGACACATCCGTCGCCAGTATTCCCAGAGAATGCAACATTCTCACCACTTATTGGAGCAACACATAACATGAACTACGAGATGTGGCGTCGAGGAAGAATGGCATCACTCGGAGTTCAAACTGTCGCAGAGACAGGTAGATATTATTTTCAGATGTCATAAAAACTTATTTTTTAATTTTCTGCATTTAAATAATGAAATTGTTTAATTGTTGTGTCAATTATTTTAGTTTGATACCTTGTGTTGGAGTAAGATTTTCTTTTTATCAACTAAAGAGTTTTAAAATCGTTCTTGTCTTTCACGCATTTCCAGTATTTTTAAGAATCATGTTTCGTTTTCTGTTCAATGCAAAACTGTCAATTCTTTCCTTTTCATTCCTATAGTGGAACTGTTTCTTATCCTCTCCTTATCTTTCCACACGGTGGAAACATTTTCTTTTCATTTTCACAAACACGTTACATACTAAGTATTTTTCCGTCTTCTATTTCATAGGAAATCCAAGTGTTCTTGCTAAAGAAATATACCGTCAACATCGCTATGGAAACGTCAAATCGCGCATCCGAGGAGATGGCACCGTTCAAACTCCAGGAAACACAACATTAATGGATATTCATGTTGATGAAGATCGCTCTTTAGTGTCTGTAATAACCATGATCTTCCCATCACCAGATTGGTTCCTGGGAATATCAAATGTTGATATGTGTAACACAATGACAGGAGAATGGAGAGAAGAATATTCCCGCGACTTGTTGCCGTACGATTCTGGCACTGACGATGGCACTTCGTTTGAAAGTCCAGACTCAGTGTCTGATCCACGGAAGAATATCTTCCTCATAGGAAATGAAGATGATACAAACTTCAATAGTGATTCTAAAATTGAACCTCTCGGCACATTCAAGTTCACGAAGGTGCCAACAAAGAAGTGCAAAGGAAAGGCTTATTACTCTTTGACATTTTATGCAAAATGGAGCAATGTAACACATCCGTCGCCAGTATTCCCAGAGAATGCAACATTTTCACCACTTATTGGAGCAACACATAATACGTACTACGAGATGTGGCGTCGGGGAAAAATGGCATCACCTGGAGTTAAAACAGTCGCCGAGACAGGTAGGTACTATTTTCATTTTTAGAACCTCAATTTTAATTTCCTAGGGAAAAAAAAATGTTTGAATTGTTGTATGAATTTTGTCAGTTTTATATCTTGTGTGATAGTAAAATGATCTTTTTGTTCCACTCCAATAATTTTATAATGTTTATTGTTTTTCAAGCTTTTGCCACTATTCTTAATTAAGAACCATGTTTAATTTTTTTCCTGTTCCGTATAACAATGCTCGCTTCTTTCCATTTCTTTCATGCACTGGGACACTTTCTTGTCTTTTTCTCATGTTCCTCTTGGTTTGAAAACAATTCTGCTTCATGTTCACAAACATGGTTATATCTGCTAAATCTATTTTCACGTTTCATTTCATAGGAGATCCAAGTGTTCTTGCTAAAGAAATCTACCGTCAAAATTGCTATGGAAACGTTAAATCGCCCATCCGAGGAAATAGTCCCGTTCAAACACCAGGAAACACATCATTAATGGATATTCATGTTGATGAAGACCGCTCATTAGTCTCTGTAATAACAATGATCTTCCCATCACCAGATTGGTTCTTGGGAATATCGAATGTTGATATGTGTAACCCAATGACAGGAGAATGGAGAGAAGAATATTCCCGCGACTTGTTGCCGTACGATTCTGGTACTGACGATGGCACTTCGTTTGAAAGTCCAGACTCAGCGTCTGATCCACGAAAGAATATCTTCCTCATTGGAAATGAAGATGATACTAACTTCAAAAGTGATTCTGAAATTGAACCTCTCGGCACATTCAAGTTCACGAAGGTGACAACAAAGAAGTGCAAAGGAAAGGCTTATTATTCTTTAAAATTTGATGCAGAATGGAGCAATGAGACACATCCGTCACCAGTATTCCCAAAGCATGCTAAGTTCTCAACACTTATTGGAGCCACTCATAACATGTACTACGAGATGTGGCGTCGAGGGAGAATGGCATCACCTGGAGTACGAAATGTGGCTGAAACAGGTAAAGACTGAAATTGCTTACAGTTTTCCTTTGGAGAAACACCACATTGGGGGAGTACCAGAACCATTATTTACCTGCCGGAACTGGGTCAAGAAAAAACTGTGTCCGGAATGGGTACTGCATTTTTTAACCGTCTGTGATTATATCCTGCTTTGTCTGCTGTCAACTTCATAAAAATAGAAAATATTTCCATGGTAGTATGTCGATATAAATTCGAGTGCTCTGTGCCATGGTAGGTAATGTCAATAACACCAGAAAACTGCAGATTCAGAGGGATTTGACAACCTGAAAACAGCAAGTAAAACTTCGACGTTTCGAGCGAAACCCTTCGTTGGGAAGAGCCTTTGTTGGAAATGTCGACGTTTTACTTGAATGGTCCCACAACACCATACAAATTCCAATCGTTTTCGATATAATGGAAATTAAATGCCCCATGATGTTTTTTTTCTATTTTGGTTGTTTTTCACGATTCCTTTCTCTTTAGCTTACTTTCACTTTTTTCATCTTCTGTTTCTTCCCAACTTTTCCAGGTAGTGAATGCTTACTCGAAAGAGAAATCCTGAAACAGAAACGTTATGGTAATGCTTACTCACTCATCAAAGCAACTGGTCAACTCATGACACCGGGAAGAAGAAAATTATTCAACATTCATGTTGATGAAGATCGTTCCATGGTTTCCCTTATATCAATGATCTTCCCATCACCAGATTGGTTCCTGGGAATATCAAATGTTGATATGTGTAATCCAGTAACAGGAAAATGGAGAGAAAGTTTACAAAGATGTCTATTTCCATACGATTCAGGAACTGACGATGGCACTTCGTTTGAAAGTCCAGACTCCCCTACAAAGCCCAGAAAGAATATTTTCCTCATCGGAAAAGAAGATGATACTAACTTCAAAAGCGATTCTAAAATTCAACCATTAGGAAGATTCACGATCACGAAGGCGCCACCAAAGAAGTGCAAAGGAAAGGCTTATTACTCTTTGACATTTTATGCAAAATGGAGCAACGAGACACATCCGTCACCAGTATTCCCCCCAAATGCAACATTTTCACCACTTATTGGAGCAACACATAACATGTACTACGAGATGTGGCGTCGGGGGAAAATGGCATCACTTGGAGTTCAAACTGTCGCTGAGACAGGTAGATATTTTTTGAGATATTAGAAAAGCTTAATTTTCTCCATATTTTTGTATTTAAGTTGAGAAACCTCTTACTTGTTCTACCATTTTTTATCATATTTATATCTCGCGATATGAAAATTATCTTTTTCGATGGAGCAAATAATTCACAAATTTTTCTTTTCTTTAGTTAAAGGATTTTCCAGTTTTCTAAAGACCCATGTTTCTTCTTTTATTGGATATGCCAATTTCTTTCCAATTCTTTCATTCCCTGCGACTCTTTCGTGTTTTCTTCTGATATTACATTCGTCATGGTTTGAAAACAATTCATCTTGATGTTCACAGAGATGGTTACATATTAAATATTTTTTTCACTTACTATTTCGTAGGAGATCCAAGTGTTCTTGCTAAAGAAATCTACCGTCAACATCGCTATGGAAACGTAAAATCGCCCATCCGAGGAGATGGTACCGTTCAAACTCCAGGACACACAACATTGATGGATATTCATGTTGATGAAGATCGTTCATTAGTTTCTGTAATAACCATGATCTTCCCATCACCAGATTGGTTCCTGGGAATATCAAATGTTGATATGTGTAACCCAATGACAGGAGAATGGAGAGAAGAATATTCCCGCGACTTGTTGCCGTACGATTCTGGTACTGACGATGGAACTTCGTTTGAAAGTCCAGACTCAGCGTCTAATCCACGAAAGAATATCTTCCTCATAGGAAATGAAGATGATACAAACTTCAAAAGTGATTCTAAAATTGAACCTCTCGGGACATTCAAGTTCACGAAGGTGCAAACAAAGAAGTGCAAAGGAAAGGCTTATTACTCTTTGACATTTTATGCAAAATGGAGCAATGAGACACACCCGTCGCCAGTATTCCCAGAAAATGCAACATTTTCACCACTTATTGGAGCAACACATAACATGTACTACGAGATGTGGCGTCGGGGGAAAATGGCATCACTTGGAGTTCAAACTGTCGCTGAGACAGGTAGATACTTTTTTAAGACATTAGAAAAGCTTAATATTTTCCACTTTTTTATTAAAGTTAAAAAATCTCTTACTTGTTCTAACATTTTTTACATATTCATAGCTTACAAGATATAAAAATTATCTTTTTCGATGGAACAAATTACTAAAAATGTTTTCTTCCTTTGAAGATTTTCCAGTTTTCTTAAGACTCATGTTTCTTCGTCTATTGCAAATACCAATGCTACTTTCTTTCCATTCCTCTCATGCCTGGCGAATCGTTCGTGTTTTCCTCTGATATTGCTCATGGTTTGAAAACAATTCCTCTCAATGTTCCCAAACATGGTAACATGTTAAATATTTTTTTCACTTACTATTTCGTAGGAGATCCAAGTGTTCTTGCTAAAGAAATCGACCGTCAACATCGCTATGGAAACGTTAAATCGCCCATCCGAGGAGATGGAACCGTTCAAACACCAGGAAACACAACATTGATGGATATTCATGTTGATCAAGATCGTTCGTTAGTTTCTGTAATAACAATGATCTTCCCATCGCCAGATTGGTTCCTGGGAATATCAAATGTTGATATGTGTAATCCAATGACCGGAAAATGGAGAGAAGAATATTCCCGCGACTTGTTGCCGTACGATTCTGGCACTGACGATGGCACTTCGTTTGGTAGTCCAGACTCAGCGTCTGATCCACGAAAGAATATCTTCCTCATAGGAAACGAAGATGATACAAACTTCAAAAGTGATTCTAAAATTGAACCTCTCGGGACATTCAAGTTCACGAAGGTGCCAACAAAGAAGTGCAAAGGAAAGGCTTATTACTCTTTGACATTTTACGCAAAATGGAGCAACGAGACACACCCGTCGCCAGTATTTCCAGAGAATGCAACATTTTCACCACTTATTGGAGCAACACATAACATGTACTACGAGATGTGGCGTCGGGGGAAAATGGCATCACTTGGAGTTCAAACAGTCGCTGAGACAGGTAGATATTTTTTAGGATATTAGAAAAGCATAATTCTCTCCCCTTTCTTGATTTAAGTTAAGAAATTTCTTTGTTTTTCTAACATTCTTTCCATATTCATATCTTGCAAGATATGAGAGTTATCGTTTTTGATGGATGAAATAATTTACAATTTGTTTTGAAGGATTTTCCAGTTTTCAAAGACTCATGTTTCTTCTTCTATTGGATATGCCTATTTTCGTGCAATTTCTTTCTAATTCCTTTATGCCCTGCGACCCTTTCGTGTTTTCTTGTTATATTCCTCATGGTTTGAGAATAATTCCTGTTCATGTTCATGTTCACGTTCACGTTCACGTTCACGTTCACAAACATGCTTACATATTAAATACTTTTTTCACTTACTATTTCGTAGGAGATCCAAGTGTTCTTGCTAAAGAAATCTACCGTCAACATCGCTATGGAAACGTTAAATCGCCCATCCGAGGAGATGGTACCGTTCAAACACCAGGAAACACAACATTGATGGATATTCATGTTGATCAAGATCGTTCGTTAGTTTCTGTAATAACCATGATCTTCCCATCACCAGATTGGTTCCTGGGAATATCAAATGTTGATATGTGTAATCCAATGACCGGAGAATGGAGAGAAGAATATTCCCGCGACTTGTTGCCCTACGATTCTGGTACTGACGATGGCACTTCGTTTGAAAGTCCAGACTCAGCGTCTGATCCACGAAAGAATATCTTCCTCATAGGAAATGAAGATGATACAAACTTCAAAAGCGAATCTAAAATTGAACCATTAGGAACATTCAAGTTCATGAAGGTACCACCAAAGAAGTGCAAAGGAAAGGCGTATTACTCTTTGACATTTTATGCAAAATGGAGCAACGAGACACACCCATCGCCAGTATTTCCAGAGAATGCAGTATTTTCACCACTTATTGGAGCGACACATAACATGTACTACGAGATGTGGCGTCGGGGGAAAATGGCATCACTTGGAGTTCAAACAGTTGCTGAGACAGGTAGATATTTTTTAAAATATTAGAAAAGCTAAATTTTTCCCACTTTTTTGTATTTAAGTTAAGAAATCTCTTACTTGTTCTAACATTTTTTTTCCATATTCATATATTTCAAGATATTGGAATAATCGTTTTCGATAGATCAAATAATTTACAAATTTGTTTTCTCTTACATGGATTTTTCATTTTTCTTAAGACTCATGTTTCTTCGTCTATTGGATATGCCAATTCGTTTCCAATTCTTTCATGTTCTGCGACTCTTTCGTGTTTTCTTATCATATTTCTCATGGATTGAAAACAGTTCATTTTGATGTTCACAAGCATGGTTACATATTGAATATTTTTCACTTACTATTTCGTAGGAGATCCAAGTGTTCTTGCTAAAGAAATCTACCGTCATCATCGCTATGGAAACGTCAAATCGCCCATCCAAGGAGATGGCACCGTTCAAACACCAGGAAACACAACTTTGGCGGATATTCATGTTGATGAAGATCGTTCGTTAGTTTCTGTAATAACCATGATCTTCCCATCACCAGATTGGTTCTTGGGAATATCAAATGTTGACATGTGCAACCCAATGACTGGGGAATGGAGAGAAGAATATTCCCGCGACTTGCTTCCCTACGATTCTGGCACTGACGATGGAACTTCGTTTGAAAGTCCAGACTCAGCGTCCGATCCACGAAAGAATATCTTCCTCATAGGAAATGAAGATGATACGAACTTCAAAAGTGATTCTGAAATTGAACCTCTCGGAACATTCAAGTTCACGAAGGTGCCAACAAAGAAGTGCAAAGGAAAGGCTTATTACTCTTTGACATTTTATGCAAAATGGAGCAACGAGACACACCCGTCGCCAGTATTTCCGGAGAATGCAACATTTTCACCACTTATTGGGGCAACACATAACATATACTACGAAATGTGGCGTCGAGGGAAAATGGCATCACTCGGAGTTCAAACTGTCGCTGAGACAGGTAGATATTTTTTGGAGATATTATCAAAGCTTAATTTTCCCCACTTTTTGTATTTAAGCTGACAAATCTCTTACTTGTTCTAACATTTTTCTCCATATTCATATGCAGCAAGATATGAGAACTATTTTTTTCGATGGTACAAACAATTTACAAAGTTTTCTTTTCTTTAGTTAAAAAAGATTTTCCAGTTTTCAAGAGACCCGTGTTTCTTCTTCTATTGCACATGCCAATTTTCTTTCCAATTCTTTCATGCCCTGAAACTTTTTCGTGTTTTCTTCTTTATTCCTCATTGTTTGAAAACAACTACTATTTATTTTCACAGAGAAGGTTACATATTACATTGTTTTCACACTGACTATTTCGTAGGAAATCCACGTGTTCTTGCTAAAGAAATCTACCGTCAACATCGCTATGGAAACGTTAAATCACCCATCCAAGGAAATGGAACAGTTCAAACACCAGGAGACACAACATTGACGGATATTCATGTTGATGAAGATCGCTCTTTAGTTTCTGTAATAACCATGATCTTCCCATCACCAGATTGGTTCCTGGGAATATCAAATGTTGATATGTGTAACACAATGACCGGAGAATGGAGAGAAGAATATTCCCGCGACTTGCTGCCCTACGATTCTGGTACTGACGATGGCACTTCGTTTGAAAGTCCAGACTCAGCGTCTGATCCACGAAAGAATATCTTCCTCATAGGAAATGAAGACGATACTAACTTCAAAAGTGATTCTAAAATTGAACCTCTAGGGACATTCAAGTTCACGAAGGTACCAACAAAGAAGTGCAAAGGAAAGGCTTATTACTCTTTGACATTTTACGCAAAATGGAGCAACGAGACACATCCGTCGCCAGTATTCCCAGAGAACGCAACATTTTCACCACTTATTGGAGCAACACATAACATGTACTACGAGATGTGGCGTCGGGGGAAAATGGCATCACTTGGAGTTCAAACAGTCGCTGAGACAGGTAGATATTTTTTAAAATATTAGGAAAGCTTAATTTTCTCCACTTTCTTGTATTTAAGTTAAGAAATCCCTTACTTGTTCTAACATTTACTCCATATCCATATCTTGCAATTGAGAACCATCTTTTTTGATGGACCAAATAATTTACAAATTTTTCTTTTCTTTGAAGGATTTTCCAGTTTTCTAAGGACTCATGTTTCTTCTTTTATTCGATATGCTAATTTCTTTCCAATTCTTCCATGCCCTGCGACTCTTCCTTGTGTTTTCTTGTTATATTCCTCATGGTTTAAAAAGAATTCATCTTGACGTTCACAAACATGCTTACATATTAAATATTTTCTTCACTGACTATTTCGTAGGAAATCCAAGTGTTCTTGCTAACGAAATCTATCGTCAACATCGCTATGGAAACGTTAAATCGCCCATTCAAGGGAATGGGACCGTTCAAACACCAGGAAACACAACATTGATGGATATTCATGTTGATGAAGATCGTTCTTTAGTGTCTGTAATAACCATGATATTCCCATCGCCAGATTGGTTCCTGGGAATATCTAATGTTGATATGTGTAATCCAATGACCGGAAAATGGAGGGAAGAATATTCCCGCGACTTGCTACCGTACGATTCTGGCACTGACGATGGCACTTCGTTTGGTAGTCCAGACTCAGCGTCTAATCCACGAAAGAATATCTTCCTCATAGGAAATGAAGATAATACAAACTTCAAAAGTGATTCTAAAATTGAACCTCTCGGAACATTTAAGTTCACGAAGGTGCCAACAAAGAAGTGCAAAGGAAAGGCTTATTACTCTTTGACATTTTATGCAAAATGGAGCAACGAGACACATCCGTCGCCAGAATTCCCAGAGAATGCAACATTTTCACCACTTATTGGAGCAACACATAACATGTACTACGAGATGTGGCGTCGGGGGAAAATGGCATCACTTGGAGTTCAAACAGTCGCTGAGACAGGTAGATATTTTTTGAGATATTAGAAAAGTTTAATTTCCCCCACTTTTTTGTATTTAGGTTAAGAAATCTCTTACTTGTTTAAAATTTATTCCATAATTCATATATTGCAAGTTATGAGAAATATCGTTTTCGATGGACCAAATAATTTACAAATTTTTCTTTTCTTTGAAAGATTTTCCAGTTTTCTAAAGACTTATGTTTCTTCTTTTATTCGATATGCCAATTTCTTTCCAATTCTTCCATGCCCTGCGACTCTTCCTTGTGTTTTCTTGTTATATTCCTCATAGTTTAAAAAGAATTCATCTTGACGTTCACAAACATGCTTATATATTAAATATTTTCTTCACTGACTATTTCGTAGGAAATCCAAGTGTTCTTGCTAACGAAATCTACCGTCAACATCGCTATGGAAACGTTAAATCGCCCATCCAAGGGAATGGGACCGTTCAAACACCAGGAAACACAACATTGATGGATATTCATGTTGATGAAGATCGTTCTTTAGTGTCTGTAATAACCATGATATTCCCATCGCCAGATTGGTTCCTGGGAATATCAAATGTTGATATGTGTAATCCAATGACCGGAAAATGGAGGGAAGAATATTCCCGCGACTTGTTGCCGTACGATTCTGGCACTGACGATGGCACTTCGTTTGGTAGTCCAGACTCAGCGTCTAACCCACGAAAGAATATCTTCCTCATAGGAAATGAAGATAATACAAACTTCAAAAGTGATTCTAAAATTGAACCTCTCGGAACATTTAAGTTCACGAAGGTGCCAACAAAGAAGTGCAAAGGAAAGGCTTATTACTCTTTGACATTTTATGCAAAATGGAGCAACGAGACACATCCGTCGCCAGAATTCCCAGAGAATGCAACATTTTCACCACTTATTGGAGCAACACATAACATGTACTACGAGATGTGGCGTCGGGGGAAAATGGCATCACTTGGAGTTCAAACAGTCGCTGAGACAGGTAGATATTTTTTGAGATATTAGAAAAGTTTAATTTCCCCCACTTTTTTGTATTTAGGTTAAGAAATCTCTTACTTGTTCAAAATTTATTCCATATTCATATATTGCAAGTTATGAGAAATATCGTTTTCGATGGACCAAATAATTTACAACTTTTTCTTTTCTTTGAAGGATTTTCCAGTTTTCTAAAGACTTATGTTTCTTCTTTTATTGGATATGCCAATTTCTTTCTAATTCTTTCATGCCCTGCGACTCTTCCTTGTGTTTTCTTGTTATATTCCTCATGGTTTAAAAAGAATTCATCTTGACGTTCACAAACATGCTTACATATTAAATATTTTCTTCACTGACTATTTCGTAGGAAATCCAAGTGTTCTTGCTAACGAAATCTATCGTCAACATCGCTATGGAAACGTTAAATCGCCCATCCAAGGGAATGGGACCGTTGAAACACCAGGGAAAACAACATTGATGGATATTCATGTTGATGAAGATCGTTCTTTAGTGTCTGTAATAACCATGATATTCCCATCGCCAGATTGGTTCCTGGGAATATCAAATGTTGATATGTGTAATCCAATGACCGGAAAATGGAGAGAAGAATATTCCCGCGACTTGTTGCCGTACGATTCTGGCACTGACGATGGCACTTCGTTTGGTAGTCCAGACTCAGCGTCTAATCCACGAAAGAATATCTTCCTCATAGGAAATGAAGATAATACAAACTTCAAAAGTGATTCTAAAATTGAACCTCTCGGAACATTTAAGTTCACGAAGGTGCCAACAAAGAAATGCAAAGGAAAGGCTTATTACTCTTTGACATTTTATGCAAAATGGAGCAACGAGACACATCCGTCGCCAGAATTCCCAGAAAATGCAACATTTTCACCACTTATTGGAGCAACACATAACATGTACTACGAGATGTGGCGTCGGGGGAAAATGGCATCACTTGGAGTTCAAACAGTCGCTGAGACAGGTAGACATTTTTTGAGATATTAGCAAAGCTTAATGTTTTCCCCTGATTGTATTTAAGCTGAGAAATGTCTTACTTGTTCCAAATCGTTTTTCCATATTCATATGCAGCAAGATATGAGAATTATCTTTTTTTACAAATTTTTCTTTTCTCTGAAGGATTTTCCAGTTTTCTTAAGACTTGTGTTTCTTCTTCTATTGGATATGCCATTTCTTTCCAATTCTTTTATGCCCTGAGACTTTTTCGTGTTTTCTTGTTATATTTCTCATTGTTTGAAAACAATTCCTCTTGATTTTCACAGAGATGGTTGCACATTCAATTTTTTAAAATTATTATTTCGTAGGAGATCCACGTGTTCTTGGTAAAGAAATCTACCGTCAACATCGCTATGGCAACGTTAAATCATCCATCCAAGGAAATGGAACAGTTCAAACACCAGGAAACACAACATTGACGGATATTCATGTCGATGAAGATCGTTCGTTAGTTTCTGTAATAACCATGATTTTCCCATCACCAGATTGGTTCCTGGGAATATCAAATGTTGATATGTGTAACGCAATGACCGGAGAATGGAGAGAAGAATATTCCCGCGACTTGTTGCCGTACGATTCTGGCACTGACGATGGCACTTCGTTTCAAAGTCCAGACTCGGCGTCTAATCCTCGGAAGAATATCTTCCTCATAGGAAATGAAGATGATACAAACTTCAAAAGTGATTCAAAAATTGAACCTCTCGGGACATTCAAGTTCACGAAGGTACCAACAAAGAAGTGCAAAGGAAAGGCTTATTACTCTGTGACATTTTATGCAAAATGGAGCAATGAGACACACCCGTCGCCAGTATTCCCCCAAAATGCAACATTTTCACCACTTATTGGAGCAACACATAACATGTACTACGAGATGTGGCGTCGGGGAAAAATGGCATCACTTGGAGTTCAACTTGTCGCTGAGACAGGTAAATATACTTCGTGATTTATTAATACATTATTACATATATTATTCCGGTTGTTTTCCAAGGATTGTTAATTTTACTAATGATGAAGAATTATCAAACGTAGCCACCTGCGCAGGAATCTCGTGGTTCACTTATATCAAACCGAAGTTAGTGTTATCGAAGGCTGAGATTGGTTACGAAAACCGAAGCGATAATTGTTTTAGTATTAATTATTTATTTGGAAGATGAAACAGCGGACGATTGTAGGAAGCAATTTTTGTTGTGACAAATTTGTCACTCTTTTGGCAGTTGTGATTGGCATGACGTCATTGTATTTGATGTTATTTTTCATATCGTGACGTGACTCTGTTTAATATTAGTAACTTTATTTTTCATATTTATGTTTAATATTATGTCAAAACTCCATATTTGATACGCTATTGAAAATTGAATAGCAATAATAATGATCTAAATTTCATTTTCTGACAGCAGATGTGGGTAGATATTTAAATATGTCAATCGGAATAAGAGAACTAAAATATTTCTGATAAGATGGTGAAAGTCTACCATAAAGTCTAACTTTTGTCTTACTCAAATTTTATGGTTGATTAAAGGATTAATATGTCTTTGCAATGTAGTTAGTAAGGTTTAGTTGTAAAATGACGCATTGATCTTGTATAATAAGCCCTGTTTATTTCCATTCCGTAACCATGCCGCCTTTTATTCTGTTCTTGGAAAGCGTAACCATTTATACCGGCCGCAGGTATTCTGTGTTTCGTCTTAACATGATTCATGACTTCTCTTTCATTCTTAACAGGGAATGCGACTATCCTTGCCAATGAGATTTATCGTCAAAAACGATATGGAAATGTGTTTTCACAATTCAGAGCCACAGGTCCAACAAAGACGCCAGGGATGATTAACTTTACCAAAATCACTGTGAATGAAACACATTCGTTGATGTCGCTGATCACAATGATTTTCCCGTCTCCTGATTGGTTCCTGGGGATTTCAAATATGGACATGTGTAACAAAATCACAGGAGAATGGCGAAAGAACTACACAAGAGATTTATTACCATATGATTCTGGAACGGACGATGGAACTTCATTTGAAAGTCCGGATTCAGCAACAAATCCAAGAAAGAATATTTTCCTTATTGGTAAGGATGATGAGACGAATTTCAAGAGTGACTCGGATATCAAACGTCTGGGAGTGTTAGTTATAGAAAGAGTTGAAGAAAATGATGACAATAATAATGGTGATAATAATGGTGGAAATGGTGATAATGATGATGATGGTGACAATAATGGTGATGATGGTGATGATGGTGACAATAATGGTGGAAATGGTGGAAATGGTGGTGATGATGATAACAATGTCAATACTGGTGACAATAATGGTGGAAATGGTGGTGATGATGATAACAATGTCAATACTGCATCTACATTCACTAGAAATTCTATTCTGGTCGCCATTACTACTGTCCTAATTATGTTCATTATACAAGTTTAGGTGAATAGTCCTAATTAATTGTGGTAATTAATAATAACTTTAATAGAAAATAAACATCTTCTAACAAATGAAGTGAACTGATAACATACAGATTTTTTATACAAGGATGGTCAAATGAGTTATACTGCGAGCCTACAACACACTAAAGACATGATAGATGCCAAGTTCACATTGCCGAACATCACTTGTTCATGACAGTTACGAACAAACGGAGACCAGGATTAATGTCCGGTGAACTGAACATCGAAAAATGGATTGGTTTTGTTATCTTTCTTAAATTGTAATTTATATATAATGGAGTGATGTAAACTAATAAAAAATATTTCAGAACCATCCTCATGCAGAGATACGAAAAACCAGTTTCATATTATTCTGACACTGCAATCGACCAACGAAAAATTCGTTGGCTCGAGCGGGATTTGAACTCGCATCTTCGGGTATCTAGACCGCCGCTCTACCCATCGAGCTATCGAGTCAATGGGGAATAAAAATATGAGTTAATGGGGAAAAAAAATTTAGTTTTTCTTTCAATAAGTTTGAGAAGAAGGCTCTAGCTACTGCCACATAATTTCTGGTTTCGTTTGAAATCAAAGCTAAAGTTTATGTAAATTAACATGATTTTTATCACATATAAATCTACCGACACGGTAGTGATTTCCTCTGTCTTTTCCTCGTGAATCATTTAAATGTATACAGGGTGTATAAAAAAAAGGTAATCGAACTTCAGCGCGCTATTATACGTGAATTACTCGGCGTATGAACAATTGGTTTTCATATTCGGAAAGATCAGGCTTTTAGCTATTGAATGACATGCTTTTCATGCCAAGTGGAGAAAAAATAAGCATGTATGAGACCGATTAAAAATGTTAGTCAAAATCGCATATTTTCACCTCTGTGCCAAATTAAAACAATGCATAACAAAAGAAAAAGCAATTAATCACGAACGTGTCGTAGCTTAGCTAAGATTTATTCCTACTTAATAATAATTATGAATATGTGCATCGTTTATTGAAGTGAAATTCATCAACTTAAGTACCAAAGGGAATAATTTTCAATGGTTTTAGACCCAACTCTCAACGGTGAAAATATGCGATTCTGACTAACATTTTTTATCGGATTCGTATTTGCTCAGTTTTTATCCATTTGGCATGAAGAAGATATCATTCAACAGCTAAAAGCATAATCTTTCCGAATGTGAAAAATCTCGTTCATACGCAGAGTAATTCAGATACAATAGCGCGCTGAAGTTATACACCCTGTATATTAATATATTGGCCCATTTTCGGTATATATGGTCATCTTACGGTCTATGTCCGGTTGATTTTCGACGATAGAAATTTGGAAATTAACCACTGATACCCCCCCCCAAACTCGTCTATTGCTGTGAGACGGGAGAAGTGAGCTATCAAAACAAAGAATTAGAAAACCAATGGAAGTGCCTTTTGATGAGTGAATGTGGGTTATGATAGTCAGTGGTTTAGTGTTATAGTTAGGAAAATGGTTGTGATTGGAGTCATAATCAAAGAGAAATATATTACTGCGCAAAACATGACGGAAGGTGATTTAGATGATCATAGCCTGCGAGCAGACCATCTAATGTGCCGAGTACCACAGTACCGTAGTACCCTAGTACCAGGTTTGTCCTCCCTGGAGAGCCTCGAGACACACATCTCAAGATATATTTGAAAGTTAATCAAGATTGACAAGTCAAACTTTTCGCCTCCTCGACCCCCTCCCTCTGCATACTCAGCAGGGGGGAACAGGTGGTTGAATCACAACTTTCGGTAGATTGGGGATGGATGAAAGTAAAATCTATTGCAGAAATTGTGAAGGAAAAGAGGTTCCAATCAGTTTTGTCCAGATTGTGGGCTATTATGTTTAAAGAGAAACCTATTATATAGATACTGAGTTTTGAAACCTCACTTCGGAATGCATAGAGGCCGCCAAATCAGCTAGGAAAGCGAAAGAATTTTATCACACGTTTGAAAATATCTGTCCAATCAACTTATTCATGTGATGATTTGCGACGTAACGAGTCAAATCACCCTTCGCCTGAATTTTACCACTCCGATTTGATTTCGACCCCTCAAACCTTTTGTATGAGGTGGGTGCGAATCACGTGAAACTGCTGTAATGGCTCTAATCAACAACAATTCAGTTCCTATAATCGCCTCAAGACTTTTCTTTCATGTCGATAAAAAATCACCTTAGTGCAGCTCCATAAACAACCCTTAAACCGCCCTTAGCCCTACAATCTGATCCATTGAACCCTTATGCATGACAAACAAACGTCTATACAATCTCCATTCTCCAACATACGTTTTGCTTCACCTGGCAACAAAAACATCATTTCGTATGTAAACAAACTTGCTATCCGGTCTTGATACTCTATCCAAGCACTTTTCTTAATGATAAGTATTTATATCAGATATATGCTATCTCTTAATGAATACCTAGTTCGCGTTTAATTGCGAAGTGTCAGCGCGCGCACAGCAAGCTGTCATCGAAGAGAGTGTGGGTGCGATTTTGGCAGCCAATCAACACGAATCTCAATCAACAACGCTCGCTAAGTGTTCCCGAATGAGGTTGGCCAATAAGCATTAAGCATGACAAGCCATTAACTCTTTCAAAGACGCAACAATTTCAAGAGTCTCACTTCGAGTGTGAATCAAACATACACAACTTTGAACCTGGCGTTCACATCACAACCATACCACAGAGCTGTTTTATCTGCGCATCTCTCAGACTATATCAAAGAGTATACTGAATATTCTAGCCATTCACATCACAACCATATACCACAGAGCTGTTTTATCTGCACATCTCCTAGCCTGTATCAAAGAGTATACTGAATATTCCAGCTATGAGCTTGAAAGGCGCACAACAAAGCCCAAGGCTGACGTCCTTTTTAATCAAAGATATCCTAGCATCTAATGAAGACGAGAATGCTTCCGAAACAGCAGTTTATGAAGATTCCATATCATCAGAGAGTTCTCACTCAAGTGTTTTGGCAGAGAGCGAACAAGATTCGCCAAAGCCATTCCCGTTTTCCGATTCCCGCAATGGATTTGATGAAACAGGTAGTGGGCATGACGATGGGTTTGATGAAACCCATAGTGGGCATGAATCACACAACGATTGGTCGGAAAATCGATTTGAGCACTATGACTATGTTTCAACCGGTAAGTTTGCTTTAGGTTTTATACAATTCGGTTTTTGGTTTGGAGTATCACCACTAAAATATGCTGCACCTATAAATAACGTATTTTCTTGCCCTGTGATTTTGGTACAATCTAGTACAACAATCCTAAGACCTATAATTTAGTTACTTAAATATTTTTGTTGAAGTTCTTTCTTTTTATCACCAAGACGCAAACACAAGAGTAAGATTGTTTGGGTTTGCAATGTTGTGATTAAAACGCATGATTTGAAATGTAATTCTGGTCGCATTCCTTGTCAAGCAATTTCGGCGGTGTAGTCACTATATATACCTACCTATATTTAGTACAAAAAGAGGTTGAACGTAAAATTTGGTTTGTACTAATTATCATGCAAATAAGCAACCATGATACGTAGTTGACATTATGTAGACATGCACTATAGCAGTGATAAATATATAGGCATGTTATTTGCGGTAGCTATAGCGTATATGATTAAAATATGATGCTATACTCGCGCATTTCCCAGTTTCCTCAATGATTTCATTGAGTTGATAGCATATTAAATCAGGCCTTTTATGAGTTTTTATTCCCTAATATAGACAAATACGGGTTATAGATTGTTAGGATTTTTATCTACTTGGCACGCTTAGGCTATATAAATTAGGCTATAAAGAATCGCACATATATAAATATATATAGCTTATAAGTTTACCACAACACAAACAGTGCTCAATACCATATAGATAGAGCATAATATAGTTTTTCGTTTTACCTCAAAAAATCACAACAGTCTGTTTCATCCGTATAGGAATCATTAGGTGGTGAGTACTAATTTCGAAAATGTAGCCGTTATATATGTTCTGCACTGAACGAACATATATAATGTTCTGCAACGAGATCGGATAATTGGTCGCCAAGTAAGTTACCCCAGCCATTATAAATGAAACAGAAATGTTATTTTGTGCTCGTATTGATAGCTTTTTCCTCGGAATAGATTAAGTATTAAATAATATATCAGTATTAGTAGAATGTATCCCACCTACATTAATAGCGCACGTCCTATCACTTGTACAATGTCAATGCATGGCTATGCCTATATAATGGTAATTAATTTCCTTTCGTTTGCTAAGTAGATCATTTACTGTGCGACATAGTGTTTCCTTATTCATAAGCAACTAGTCAAATTTATTTTCATTCTAAATAGCTCTGGCTCTAGGTAAAACCAGACATAAGTCATAACGTATAGCTTAACTGATTAACATATCCTGCAACTATAAATACGGCTCGTTTTCTTCCCTGTCATACATAGCAAGAAAGAATGCAATAGTCGAAATTTTATTTAAGTTTATATGTATCAGTTGTTATAGTTTACTTGTGTTCTGAATATGACATCAAGAAATATCCGATTATCGCAAGATATCCTGCAAATGAATTTATAGGCTATATATAGGCGCACTTCCTTTTCTAGTGCTTTCTTGTAATCCGCTAACTGGCAAAGAAAATATGTCATAGGAAATTGGTTTCTTTGAAGTGTTCTAATAATGACCACAAGTTCAAGTTTGTTATAGAGTTCCAACTAGTTTAGATAAGACGTAATGTCAGTATAAAGCAGAGTATATATAAAATGTCCCGCTTACATTATAATATCCTGAACTGGATTGCGCATTTCCTTATATATCGGGTTCAACACATATAGTGTTCTCGTGTCTTTGCGTATTAAAATATAATTCTATAGTTTGCATTAACTGCGCGACACTAAGCACTGAATTGACGTCCCCTTGTAAGCCGCTCTTTCAAAAACAAACGTTGCGCACAAGATGCAAGAATAACAAAACGCGGATATAATGTATTGATAAAGACAGGGTCACTGAACAGGAAATCAGTGTACAGTCCAGATAAAATGAAATCAGAAGTGAGATGAATCATAGATATCGAACACTAAAAGCAGGAAAGCTGGTCAGTTTAATGCATGCATGATTACACTGTCAAGTTTCAATCTGTGATCATGCAGAATCAGAACGGTGACATTTTGCGTGATCTGGCAATCGTCTGGGGAAAAGTTTAGTTTTGTTTTAATCAATGTTTTTGGTGGAATAGGAAAGAGACTCAGATTTAGATTCAATTTCTTAGATCAAAATATGCGAGAGTGCATGTAAACTTTTTTCAAACGTTAACACACAATTTCCTTAACTCAACTCGAAAGCTAACGTCCAGGGGTCGTATAGTATACAGAATTTTTAATAGGGGTTAAATTCAAGATTCAAAATTTTAAGAAACTTGGTGATGTAACAACCTGGTCAGTCGATGCGGGTGTCTGGGAGTTAGTGCATGGATACAGGCTATACCCAGGAAAATGCCAAACTATTATCGCAGTTCGGAACTACAACATGTACCTGAGAATTAGAAGGAAGAATTAGAATATGCATATATATATAAGAATTTCGCTGTCCAATCAGTGTTTTACTTATAGCCACAAAGGAACTGACATTAAATATTTGTTGTTCTAGCATATTTTATTTTCTGTGTAAGCAAAATAAAGAAAGTACACTTAAGGGAATATATCGTGTAAATCAACCGTGCCGAAACAAACTTTGAGCTGCTTTTGCATATTCAAAAGATAATCTATCATCTCGATGCTTTATTTTCATATTGAACTTTAGTCAACTGAGTTCGATTACACGACTAAATAGCAATACAAAAAACTTTAACAATATGTATATACCAAAGTCACGGGACAGCTGAGACCTCACAAAAGCTTTATTATTAATCTTGCCCCTAGCTAGGATACGATAGTTTTCATATCTTTATATGATATCAGTCATAACAACACATATATATATAACTTTAGAAAGCTGAAGACTCAATAATTATATGATAAACACAAGTCAGATGTTAGAGAATGTAAATTCTCAACTTCATTTTAAAATTATCATATAAAACAAAAATGGAATATATTTAAAATAAAGTCGACAATTTGTGAGATTCTAGCTTCTTGTTCAAATATCGAATTTCCATGAAATATGGCATTTTCATGGCGATCTGTTTGTTTTCATATTTTCCGTGCATGGTTTCTCTTAAATTTTTTTTGAAGTGGATTTAACATTCACGAATTAATTATGTCAAATGTTTGCTAAGCTCTGATTTAGTTCTGGTGTACACAAAGCACGTTCAAGCCACTTACGAAAGGTTGAGTGCTCTTATAATTCAAAGCATCAATTTCATCGCGACAAAAATAAAGTAATACTGATACAAATGAAGATTCCCGCATATAATTCAAATAATTTATTACACACATGCGCTGCAAAAATATCATGATTGTATACAATGCGCCTAGATCCAAAATAGTAGTTTTTCATTTGGAATGAAAGAAGTGTTTATATTATAGGTGTTAAGAAGTGTGATTTTGAAGTGCCTATAGCCAATGGTAATTTGTCTTAGCATATTTGCATACATAAGCTAAAATCTATTAATTTGTGTGCAAGCTTGACCTTATCTCTGCTGTGCCTGTGGTATTCTAGTAGGCCTTTCATCAGATTTATGTGTTGTATACAGCTTATTACAGCATGCATTAAAAACAATTTGCACTGGTCGTTCAAATTGTGCCGACATGCGCAAGATTGATTTAAATTATTTAGCATATTGTTCATGACACAGTGCTCAACCAATATGCCCCTGGCTGTTTCATTTGCCAAGACAAGTGGTTTCAAAGAAATCTAGCGAATTAAACGGCATTGTACGGCATATACTGACTCAGCTAATGTGCTTGACGCCTGCTACGAATGCAGCCTAGTTGCGCATTGACATTGCATACGGGGACTATTAAAAAATCAAACATTATGCAAGGTTGTATTTTGCAACTGAGTCAATAGCCTATAATCACACATACATGCATGCATACGCAACCACAGCCCACCATCAGATCAGCCGGGTTTTTTATACATTTTTTATACTGTTATTGCGAAGTACTAATTTTTTGCGCATTTGTTCTTGATAACGACTTGCCTTTGGGCTTTCCGGCCCAGGACAAATAAATCATTTGCAACCATTTTAATATATATCTGTTAAGTGTTCTTAAGAAAACATACCTTGCACACACCAGATGCGAAGATATACAACTGATAAAGGGTTCACATCACTTTCCTTGATTCCAATCTATGAACAAAAAATATACCACCATGAAAACACACGCATTAATCAGTAACAAAAAACATGTACAGAGTTATATGGTAGATTTGAGTATTTAATGTGCGCAAAGATGCTGTAGTCTACACTGACCTAATCATGACCCGACTCAAAGGCTGATTTATGGTTTCTTTAAAAAGTCAGTAAAGTGCAACCTCTTTCTAAGACTTGAATGAAAGTAGCAGTTTGACTGATTACGTGGGTATGACGCCATCGTAACCACAGAAACTCACAGTCAGCTGTGTAAACCTCTATGGTCAGTAAACCATGCCTAATTGAATTATCGGGTCAACTGAAAAGAGCACAAGCTCAATCGATATTTAAACGCACGAGGCATCTTCTCAATTTGACAATCTGAGCTATCAATCCTGCTTGAATCAACTATATTTTGTAGGTTGTTTTAGTGAATTCCAGTGTATAATTTTAGAGACTGTTTAATTTCATAACCAGATGTTTTCCTAGGTATTTGCCAATGCGATGTAAAGAAAATACTCTCACATTGAACTACTTTATATTAACTACCCAGCTATGCTAAGTACTTTATGCGACCTTATTATCTATTAATAGACGAATAGGCCGAAAATGTACGCAAACAACTCAGACTCAGTCGTCAAAGCTGTAAATAAAATGAGTACATATATAGATCAGTGGACTGAGAAGTGTGATGCTCGATGGAAACACTCCCATCATGCGCCATTAGTTTTTCAATCCTCATTCAGCGACTGGGTATACCGCGAGTTAGTATCCGCGCGTCACACAAGTGAAAGAAAGAAACACAAATTAATGTTTCGCGCACGCGCAGATCACTATAATATTTGTCAAAACGAGAACTATACATTGAATAGGATAACATTTTTATCGTATATGTTTATTTGTTGCAGGTTTTGCAAACCAGCGGGACAAAACAGACCAAGTGAAAGAAATTAGAAAACAGAGTTCACCGGTATGTTCAAAGTTACGCAAGAAGCGTTCCCGTGCGGCGTTCACGCATGCGCAGGTTTTTGAACTCGAGCGACGGTTCAGCCAACAGAAGTACCTTTCCGGACCGGAGCGAGCCGGTCTGGCGGCCATGCTGAAATTAACCGAAACCCAAGTCAAGATTTGGTTTCAGAATCGAAGATATAAAACCAAACGTCGCCAACTGGTGACAGCGGTAAACTGTCCGCCAATCACAGCCAAGAAAGTTGCGGTGAAGGTTTTGTATCACGATGAGATGCAGAGACAAGAGGCGTTTAGCTTCCATCACCTGGCTAGCACGCATCATATGCAGGCAGAACCTACAGCACCATGCAGAATAATTAACTGTCCCTGTTCAACCATACATTGTTAACAGCAAGGGTATCGTTACTGATCTTAAAATACACTGGATGGAAACGACAAACGGACAAAATCTGGTGCCTAAATACATTTTGGGTTGGGTGAAAAACAAAGTTCCCGCGAATGTTCTGCCCTCCCGCAATTTCTTTCAAGACCTCATCCGACGGAGACAAGTCGTATAGCTCAATGTGCTCACCTAAAAGGAAAAAAACTGCAGTTTAATATAAAAGATATTATGTATTGCGTTTATCCAGCCTTATGTTTACTGGCTAATAATATACATGAAAAAATTACTTAATTCTGATTGTCTAAGAGCAGTTCATTTTGTTGAAACACAGTGCTAGAAAAGAAATCCAGAAAAATGCGTGGCAACGGTCAAAACAACCAAACATTTTGAATAAAATTTTGACTTTTGACAGTTGAAAACTTGTATGAAGTTGTGCCATTAAAATCGGCGAGTAAATAAATTATATTTATTTCGCATGTTTTTACATGCATGTGCAACTGATGCAAGTTACCATGAATTCGCTTCTGTATATAATTATTTGATGTATATTATTGGTATACGTAATAGTATAGGGTTTTGAGTGGAATTTAGAAAACCTACACTCGCGAGTTTTTCAAGAATTTCAACTGAATTGCACTAGTCCTTTGACCTCGTACAATTTTGTTCGTCTCTGAAAATTCACTCGTGCACGTTTTTTGTTTCCAAATTGCACTCGAAACCATACATAACCTGAACAAATACATATGATACGAACATTTAGCATCATTTTCTCGTTCTTGTGTTGAGTTTGACTACCATAACAACAGTTATTGCTGAAACCTGTCTATGGAATATCATTATAGATGTAATTTTTAGTTGGTGTGTAGAGACTTGGATTCGTTTCAAAAACGTGTTGTTGTAAATTAAAAAACGTAGTAGACTTATTACGAAAGAGGTGTACCCGGTATACAAAATCCAGGTGCAATTACAGCTGAGTCCCATGCATGTATTTATACATTTGTACTGTAATATGTAATATGTAATCTACTGTACTGTACTTGTACTGCACTGCACTATGTCAGCACAACATCGCACTGCCACACTGCCTTTTACATGGTTGAAGTATCATAGCACACAGCGCGTGTGTATTAATAGATATCATATCGAAATCTGCTCCTCGTGCCCTTTAGGAAACAGCACTTAGCCTAAGTACTATCTATCTTATAAAGTGTATAATCTAGTGCGTGCAATCCATCCGGTGTGGGTTTTTATTATCTCCAATATCATTTTGGTTTTTTCTTTCGCTTCCGAAGATCAACAAAGAATTGAATACCTTTGCCAACACTTAAGACATGGGATATGAAAACATTCCTGAGTGATCGAGAATGTGATATGAAGAGGAATAAATCCATATTGTGTTTAGGGTCGATGTGTGGGCGGGATTTAAGGCTGTGATATCGCGCAGGTAGATAATGAAAACAAATTTAAGGATGAAATGGCATGGCAACACTTCCCAGCAAGAATTATAGGTTATAGATATTATGAAAAGAGCTTCCTCTTTGCAACAAAACAATAGTGCAGAATATTCTGCATCGATACATAGTCATGTCATTTTGCATGTAAAACCAGTATACGTAGCAGCCAAAACAAACCCCATGCCGATATCGCAAAATTATTGAAAAATAATGGTACCACAAAATTACTTTTTGGTAGAGTTTCATAAGGCACACAACAGTCCAGTCTAGGAGAATTTTTTTTTAAAGGTCTCCGAACCCCTGTCCCCCCCAACTATATGTAGAGTTCGTAAACATGTTGACTATACGCTGGAGTTCATAGACATGACAATGCAGGAAATTCGCCAATTCAGTTAAGTTCTCAGGATAAAGGAAATGAGTTAAGTGCTCTCTTTATCCACTCACAGCGAACATGTAGCGATTAAAGAGTTTCTTATTGTTATAAATATAGAGCGCAAAGTGCGTAGGGATTAAAGTTAGAGATCGTGTGGAGCGATCTAAACACATCATAAATCTTCACACAACTTTAGGTTTTTGTTGTATTTATTAAATGAACTAAATTGTGAAATAATCAGTGTTCATATGTAAGGCCCACAATGTTGAATGTTCTTGTCTTGGTGCAAACGCCCTTTTTTAACGCCCTGTACTCCCGAATGGATTCGACTTAAATACATTTAAATCTGTCTGGTTTACTAGGAGTAAGGTAACAGAAGCAGTGACTTAATTTTATTATGTGGTTACATTTTTCTTAGTTCACGTTAAAGCTTATCAATCTATCTCGTGAAGTGAACGAGTGAAGTGAAGTTGCGCAAGTTCAGTGAACAAAAAGGCTTTTGGATGGCTGGTGATGAAATATTTTGTCAAACATTCAGTATAGAAGCGCATCTTGTTTACTGGTGTTTAAATTCACATGAGTGCTCAGTAGACGATGTCGTAAGCATTGCCCTTGAGTTTGTTTCCACGGGGAATATACAGCGCTACAAGAAATTATCTCACCGCCAAGTTCAAGTTGAAGCACCCATTGTTTTGCGCACTTAATGCTAATTCAAGTTGAGATCCGGTTCCCATTTACTTGAGAAAGATATTTACATTATCAGCAAAAGAGATGAGCGATCTCCAAGGGTTATTTGGTTTCCGTAGATACATTAATCTAGCTCTTTAGTAAAGTGTGTTTTCTTTAACTCGATGGATGATTGATAACGATTAAAAAAATATCGCAAACTATGCGAATGTTGACACAGGCATGACGTACTCTAATGCACCCCAGGCCAGTCAGTCCGCCTATACTAATGCGAGAGGAGTTCACTAATGTTATGGTATGGGTGAGACCTGCGCCAGTTGTGGTAGCGTAAAATTGCTGAAAAACGCTAACGATTGCTGTTACTTCGGATTTAGTCGGCCTAGCGTAGGTGGGAGGGGAGGGGGAGGGGGGGGACGTTACTTTGAGGGGCTATTTTTCAGTGGTTGCATATTTTTGTCTGGTTGACGTTAACAAGAATCCTCAGAAGTGTTTGTTTTTCAGCAGAAGAATAATAGCATTAATTCAATGATCCTCTAATAGACAAGCATAAAATCGACTTATAAAGGAAGTGCGAAAGCCTAGAATTTTTGACGAACACGGTTAGGATCGAGGAGCGGCCAGGACGCAAAATATATTCCGTCAGGGAAAGGTGGCTAAAATTGCAGCGGATTGGGTTGAGTTGCTGAGAGAACAAGGTCAAGGAAAATGATGAAGGATTAATTTGAAGGTCTACGAAGCGAAAAACATGGACCTGCAGTAATACTAATTGGCTAATCGCTGTTGTGTGTGCGTGATATATTATTGCGATATCCTATTTTGATACGGCTTTTTTGAAATATTAGAACTATTTTCAGTGTTTTGACTGAGTTGTTTTTGGCAATGACAATTAATGCATCATATCTTTGGGGCATATTTTAACACAATGTAAACTAAACAGTAAACTTATTCAGTTCATAAAAGATTTCTCATCTTCTCTCCCTTTGATATTATCTGTTTGGTAGACCAATTGGGGTGAGGCAGTTATTTGATACATCGAAAAATCCCGATGTTTTTTAAAAACCGATTTGACCGATGTTGTTTTTGCACAAAATTCGAAGAACCGGAAGGCCGAAAAACCGAACAAACAGACGAAAAAGCGCTAGCAGTATTCGGCAGTAAACATTTCAGCAAAATCGAATCAAACGTGTAACACTGTGTTAAATCTTTCGGCTTTTGCGTTGCAGTTTCACAAATAAATTACAGGTGCAACAGCGCCTTATGACTGGACAAGGTTCGATTAGAGTTTAAAGATTGAGCAGAGTAAACGACAGAGAATTTTGAACAGCATCGTGCAATGTTTTCAAGTGAAGTTTAAAACGTGTCTTAAAACCGATTCACTCGATCGTATTTCGTTTTTTTTATAAAAACCGCTCCACCCTAAGACTATCAATGCAGACTAAAAACTCGAAAATAACTTAGTGTAGATAAACTTATATCAATGCAGTGATCTACGACCTGCCTCGGCCTCAGGTGCTATGAAACGATCTCACATACGAGTCACTAAAAAAAGGTTTACATGAAGTAGTCCGTCATTATAGGCGCGCAAAGGGGGATGGGATATGAGCGTTCAACCCCATAAACCCCTGCGCTTGTTCGTCGCGATGCACTACTTCATGTAAACCTTTTATATAGTGACTCGTATATGAAATATTTTTATAGCGCCTGGGGACGAGGCAGATCTACGACCACGAACTGATACAGATTTAGTTCCCTGTTAAACAAAAAGCGTGTCTTTGATCTGGTTTATACTACCACGAAGATTTCAAAAATTATACTTTGCTCCAGTTGGGCTTGTGTCACTTTTATCTATAATTTCACTGCCATTCCGAGTTCAACTTCCAATGTTTCTACCCTTAGTTTAAATATTATCATGGTAAATGTTTCCATGTAGTTGCTCCCAAACGCAAGGTCAATATACATGGTGAAATCATTTCACCCTTTCACTCATTTGCCTCGCAGATGGTTTTAATTGCAAAGAATCTTTTTCTTCAACTACAGATCTATTTATGCGTCTACAAACGGCAGTATGAATATGTACAGTTAATGACTTTCACCTTGTCCATGTACAAAACTATCACTTAAGTTGCGTGCTAATGGTTACCATTAGCACAAGTCAATAGGTCAACTTGTATATAATTAAGACCAGTTTGGTTCTTTCGTGTTGAATTCAGAGGAATGAAAACAATGGCGGCGTTTCTTTAGTACTAAACGCCTCCACTCAAATTAACGCCCTTGCCAATACAAGAGGCAGACAATTCGAAAAGTGAAGGGAGGAAGATGGGGAAGTTTCTACAATACATGGATCAGTTGTTTACGGCGGCTGAATAACGGTTCACTTAGTGTGCATGTTTTTTGTGATATATTCTTTTTCTGCCACCTTCTCGTCCCCAATCGCTTTATGTGAATTCAGGTAAGAGAGGGAGAGAATACGCGTGGAGAATGCAGCATTTAGAATGAAGATTTAGCAGGCTCTAAATATTGTTTCGCCTTCCCATCATGCATGACAACCGATCTTTTTCCCAACCACTGATCTACATATACCACTGATATGTGCCAAAAGGAGCATACGGAGAACGGTATATAGTTATACTGTGATAGATTTCCGTTTAAAACTCGGTAACCTTGGCTTGAAGACTGCTGAGAGTCTTTCATATGAAACCATAAATCAATATCTTAATTTCGTCAATTTGTTGTGTTGTCTACAAATCTACACAAAAGCTCTTACATCAAAACGATCAAGACACCCACGAAGAATGAAACCACCCCAACTAGATCCTACAGCATAGTTTTTATATTTATCTTCGACTGTTTTTTAAAAAAGAGCGTGCTTTTCCGACATTTATGAAATATAGTTTGGCCAAAAATAACGATTTATTGATATTGCACGAAAGGCTATATTAATGCACGTACATCCATTAAAAAAGCTGTATATACAAAGACCTACTCATCACCTGAGAAACAAATTTGATTTCAACAGCTGGTCCTGTCATAAAATACGAACAATCTGATGATTTCCCTGATCCTATCACCGGTGCCCTTCACACGAACTCTTAACTAGGGTTGGGTCTACTGATGGCTCGCAACCCTCCTAGCTTTCACCCAACCATGCAGATAGTATGGCTCTTCACCTCCACCAGCGCACTCCAAAAAACAACAAGAAACAATCCAGGCCTTCAGCAAGGTGCCAAAAATAACATAACGAAAGTTGTCATCAGCCAGTTGATGATACCAATCCTACATGACTGTTTCTTCATCAAAATGGACAGAGAAATCTGAGGCGTAGAATCTAACTCCGACCACCTGCGCACCCCTGTTGAGGACTGTTTCCCCAGAACACTGCCATACTTTCCTCTCACTGATTATGCACCCTATGGTGGTCGACGGTCCGTATCGCTTACCCCCAGCATGGCCCCTACAATTATTAATCTGGATCCATCCCTCTGTCTTGAAGAAACATTGTGCTATTTTCTTGATAGGTTACCATATAAATAACTAATTAATTATTCATGTTTCGCTCGCTACTCTGGTTTAAATAAATGATTACAAAGCTCAGTCGAATTGACTGGGCTTTGTAATCATTTATTTAAACCAGAGTAGCGAGCGAAACATGATTGATATACCTGGTTGCAGTGAACGAACAAACTTTAATTAATTATTAATTGCTTATTTGCGCTAATACGTTAATATTCTATCCTATTCCTATTCCTATTCTATTCTATAGGATAATTTGTAATTAACTGAAAAGAAAGTGCAGGAACAATCAACACTGAGTAGCTTTCGATATAATTAAAACTCATTCCTAATCCCGATACTAACCAGTGATTCTAACCCTAAACGTATCCCTTATTCCAATCTTTGTGACGTCATTTTGAGCAATCTCGTCCCCAGGCTCTTTCCACTTCGCTCAGCGAGGAGTTTCGAGCCTGGGTACGAGGTTGCATTCTGAGATGGTAATAGTGGAAGTAAGAATTATATGTAATACGAGCGTTCACGCAAAGACCAATATATATTTAATGTGTTTATCCACTATGTCAGCATTTAGCCTGGGCAGGAAATGAAAAGTATATGATGGTATATATTGCGAAGTGCTTGTCTTACCACTCCTAATGACATTGTCTCAGAATGCATCCGTTCTCTATGTTGTCTTAATAAACACCACTTCTTGAAAGCACTTTTTCCCAAGAGCTTGTTTGTTGATTTAAAAAACATTTGGAGGAAATCTTCTGAATGTTTTGTGACAAGTTCATTCATGCAAACCATACTAAGTACTCATCTCGGCTGTGGCTTGTAAATATGAATTTTCGCTAAAGTAACTCCTCTTAAAAGACCTGTCTTTAGGGACAGACCATCAGATTTTTATGAGGGGAGGGGATTTTTTTGAGGATTTTATCTTTCGCCCTGACTTGCTTGCAGGATATTTTTAATGTCTGACACATACATGTGTTAGGAATACCATAGAAAAGTCACGGGTACAATTACAATCACATATATATAATAAAAAGTATTTGATCATAGCTTCTAGAACAATCAGATGGATGACATCGTTTGGTGAAGAACGTTAAATTTTATTTTCAATGGGGGGTCAGATGGCATTCTCCCCCAGGGAAATTTTGAGATTCATAGTCTCGGGAACGGCAAATTCCGGCATTCTGGGAGACTATATGACAGTAATATCCATGCATATTTTACTTTAAAATTGTTCAAAACGATTTGCACGAATGACCTCATCCAGCCGGAATCAGGCTGAATGCAGTATTCGTTGACCTTTTTAGACAAAGTCTTAATCAGAAGTTACTCTTTAGCTTTTCTTAAAGTTATTTAATATCCAACTACAACTGTCTTTATAATGGTATATGGCTTTTCCCATTTTTGTGTCTGTCATTCGCCAGTAACCCAAATCCCATTTCCCACTCCAAAAATAGACAAATCCCAGTTCTCATTTTACCTGATTTTACAGATTATTCAGACTTAGAAATTATCACACCACCCTGTCAGTCCTGCAAAGACCCTGTCAGCCCTGCAAAGACCCTGTCAGTCCTGCAAAGACCATGTCAGTCCTGAAAAGACCCTGTCAGTCCTACAAAGATCCTGTCAGTCCTGCAAAAGACCCTGTCAGTCCTGCAAAAGACCCTGTCTGTCCTGTAAAGACCCTGTCAATCCTACAAAGACCCTGTCAGTCCTGCAAAGACCCTGTCAGTCCTGCAAAGACCCTGTCAGTCCTGCAAAGGCCCTGTCTGTAATTAATCTCGAACATAAGTTACCATTTAATATTAGACAAAAATCTAATCGTTCATATATCAAGCGCTTCCGCGCACATTCAAAGCTCCTTGTGGGTTGACCGTGTGCCGGCATTTGGTCGGCGGAAAACCCATATTATATAATTATTCCTGTTTTTAATTTCTTGTAATTTCTTGATTTCATTTAATAGACCTGGTGATATTGACTATATGATATAGTCCGTGCTATATCAGATATAAAACACTCGAGCTGCGCTCCCGCGCTTTATATCTGATAAAATGACTGCTGCTCGTGTTTTAAATAGTACATTAATTAAACATTATTGATTGGCACGACATTTGTACGTAAGTAGACGAACATGAGATCAGCAATATTGTAGGGGGGGGGGGGGGGGGGGGGGGGGGGTTCTCCGTGGGGGCTTGCAGCCTGCAAAAATAAAATATATGTGCAGGGTCTTACGAGGTTGATATATGTGTAGGATTAGTGGCCTCTATTAATATATCATGCTGGCCGGATGAGTTGTGTCTAAGATTGTAGAAGCTTTTGCTGCAATTGCAAGTATTAACTTCAAAACTGCGATGAAATATACGTATATAAGCTTTTCTATTTTCTACTTTCAATATTGTTATCCATAAGAGTGAGTTCCCACAGTGACGTCATAGGGGTAGTTTCGGTTACAGACTCATTATAAACATAAAAAACATTTTACGACATGGAAACTTTAAAAATATTTAGAAAACGTTGTTGCTGAAACATTTTTTCCTAGTTGGCATGTTTCCAGAAGGTGGGCAAACCAAGAACATTTACCAGCGTAGAAAACTACTAGTGCAGGGTAACTTTCTCAGTTTCTATAACAAATACTGGCTGTTGCATCTTCAGACAAGGCCGTTAAAATCTACGCGGAAAACAATTTCGCGAGACAACAATCGCACTTGCAAAACAATCTTTCTGAATTTGTTGGATAAACAGCGAAACATTTCAGGAAATATCATGTTTTCCGATGTTTCTATAAGAGCGTTTTCTAATTTTGTCCATGCCTTATAGCTTTTTAATTACGGCAGATGTTTTCCAGCAATCACGCAATCGCCTCGCATATAAATGAAGGCGGAGTAGTATACAGGCAAAACACAAATTGCCCTAATATAATTTGATTCTCATTTTTGATCTACTTATCAGTAAATTGCACTTAGGCCTGCTGGCGAGATGTTGGAAAGATATAAACACATGTATAATCCTTTTTAAATTCTTGGCCTTCCTTATCGCTGAAGACATGCAACGGCTGCAAAATAGAGATTTATATAATTGGCAAACAAACCCTATTATTCTATGTATTCGTATTAGTAGTACATCAATTTCTATCGTTCGCTCTCATAATTTATAACATAATAAATGAGTTTAGGCCTTCCGTAGCTCATTAGTCTCATTTGCTCAATCAATTTAGCTAGTAATTGGCCACAATCTGATAACGAATTATTCATAATAAAATATTTAAAACATCTTATAGATTCGGATTAATTAGATGGGATTTTTATCACAAAAAGGTTATCAAATACACAGTACGGAAAAGGCTATAAATTTTGGAGATATGATAGCCAGACTGAATGACTGATATGAAACAGACAATTTGAAAATATTTCTCATTATATATATTTCGAGAATGACTTCTAGACAGTTTGGGTTTTAGTATATAGAAAATATTACATAAACGTTTGTTTAAAATATTATAGTTATAACAGTTTTATAGTTATTACAGTATTACAGTTTTATAGTAGTTACCGTATATATATATACAGCTATATAGATGCATGTTATTTTAACAGTGATTTTAACTCGAACCATATGGTACGGGCATTCTCGTTGTTAAAATTCCTAAATTATCGTATTCGTTAAATAATCGTGATTTTCTCAGGACGTTTTCTTGTAAATGTGAAATATATTTCTCGCACGATGCAAGTTTTGTAGACTGGGAAAAACTGTTATTATTGCTGCCACTTGCCATTAAAGTGTTGAACTGTCGAGAATTTATACTAATTGTTTGTATTTTCTCTTGCATTCTGCAAAATATGACACTGATGTATGTAGCACAGACATGCAAGTAATGAATTGGAGGCAGTCAGGCGACTATATATCAATGCGAATCAAGCTTCTATACAACGTGGATCTAAACATACTTTAGTTATAGTAGAACCAAAACTGACCTGAAACATTACCTTACACAGTATAAATTGCTCTCTCTATCTCTTTCTGCATGATTGGTTGACTGGCGATAAAATTGGCATTTTATCTTATTGGAGGGCATTTTTCGTAACAAACTTCAACGGAATAATTTTCCACATCTTTCCACCTTAATGTTTGCAAAGAACTCGGGAAAGATTTTTAACAATAATTGGCATATACTGATTTAGGCATTCAAGCATCACTACAATTATAACAGCAGATTAAAGGGGGGGGGGGGGGGTAAAAGTTTCACGGAAAAAGAAATGAATGGGGTGTCGGACTCTATATAGTCGGGTTTTTTAGTTCAATATCCCACCTTCTCCCATGCATACTGCGATTATCAAATTCAAATTACCCAACCTGCATGCATGTCCATGTATCAAAGATTTCCTAGCATTTCTACACCTGTTAAGATAATTTTAATTTCCTCTTGTATTGCCACACAGTGACCAAAAAGGACCTCACTCGACCGCTATATCGGAAGAACAGTTTTAAAATGATCGAGGGAGGTATCCCAGAGTTTAACGTAGTTCAGTTTAACGTAGGTTTGGTCTCAACATTATAGATTAAAATTTGAAATGATTGAGAGATGCTTATCTACATTCTCACAGCCATCACAACACAAAATCAGTTGCGTGTTTCAACACCCCAGTTCATATGCATAGAGGGGATGTTCCGGGGGAGGAGGGGGGAGGGTGAGATGGAATGGCACCCTAACAAAAAGTCACCATCAACCAGTGCAAATTGGTTTTGAGAGATACCTAATTTCTCCTTATAGCCTATAGTGGGTTTATATCATTTAAATTTTTATTTGATTTTCATCTATCAGACAATTTTTTACGATTAATCCAATATCTTCATGAGTCAACATCTGAAATTCTTCAATATTGTTTGAACAGAAAAAAAAGTTTGTTGAAAAAAAAAAGGTTTGAAAATTACCTTTTCGGTCAGACGTTGCAGTTAAAAAAAAGTATGACGTTTAATTTACCCGAGAATTTTTTCAACTATGATATAAATAGGTATAATTATACGTGTTTGTTATTGTGATAAGTTTCATGTTGGTATTATTTACACTGCAGACAAATCAGAGTCTTGCCGGGTAAATATTGATTAAAATTGCTTTGTTGTGGCCATGCACACGCAGTCCAATATCAATTGTTCTCACAAATAATCCCAGCCCCGGTTCACCGTTAGTTAATATTGGAATAGCCTTAAATGAATTTCCAGCATTGTATGACGACCGCAGCGTTTAGTTACAGGCGGGCTGCTTGAGAAATGCTCTTTAAATCTATTGTGTGCACTTAACTTTAGCCTAATTTGATTTGCGTGCCACTCAGCACTTAGCAGTGGATTTTAAGTGAGTTCATACATCTTTAATACAAAAGCACTATTCGTTGGAAGTAATTGAATTCATTAAAAGCCTAAAGTGTCTTTCCGGATCACGCTGGGGTGCGAATGGGAGTTGAGATGATGCGTGTTATTCCTGGGGAGCGAGGAACGGTCGAGGATCGTGGAAAGAGTGGACTTAACCCTGATAAAAGGAACGACTGAGTCAAACAGTTATCATAATTAAACAGTTTTTCTTTATCAAGGAACCTCTATAAATCCTAAAGGCTGAACTGTTCTCTCTGACGATGGGTGGAGTAACGGTTAATATTGGCCATGTCTTATTACTGCAAGAAACAAAATCTAAACTATTTTTATTAATACTGAAAAGTGAAGAATAGACCTTAGCTCAAGACGTCGAGAAGCGACTGTAACGCAGTTTCCTCTCAACATGCAGGCAGACTAAATTATTGCACAAGATTGTTTGTATCAACGTACGTCTGCTACCTCCATTTAGCTTCAAACTGTCAACCAAAGCTACATCAGCATAAACTGTTCTACACTAAGGTCCAGCAAAGACCATCTCTTTGAACCAGTGATATTACAGGAGGAAACCCAAACTTAAATTTATGAATACTGCATGGTAGCACGTGTACTATATAATAACCACACCGTACATGCCCACGGGTGTTCCTAAATGGGGAAGCAGATTTCCCGGAGAAAACCTGTGGTATTTGTTAGTTCGTAGACTGGGAGAAATCCTGTCTAGTCATGTGTTTTTCATACGTGCGGAAAACGTTAAATTAATTTAAATGTTACTCATATGAAATACTACTAAATGAACAAAAAGACGACGTTTACAGTTTTGTGCATGACTCACTTAATGACTAATGTGTATTTGTGAGGTAATTAGTACCTCCTATAAAGTTTAGTAAGATTTAGATTGTAGGGTGATTGAGAGCCGGGGGAGGGGGTGTGCTAATCATCCTTACTTGCAGCTGAGAGTTAAGCTGAATTACGAAGGACGCAGCTCAACCTGATCGAGTCGAATGTTTTCTAAGGGCGCCTCTGGCAGCCACCTTATGACTCATGTCTGGTCACGGTGTACAGCTACGGGGGAAGGGTCAGTTAGGGGGTTAATCCCAACCCACCCTGTCAATATTCCCTGTGCGGGAAGGTAACGGGAGGACCCGGAGAAAACCCATGACTAGAGCGTTGACTGACTCTTTTCACACAAGTTTCATGCGTCAGTAGCTAGAATCGATCTCAGACTGAAGTGAAGAGGGTCTTGCCCTGACCTCGACGATTGCCCCACCAAAGCCCCTAATTATAGAGAGATACTCATTGAGTTTATTCAGAATTTGCTTATAAATCCAATCTTATAAAATCAGCTTAGCTTGTTTAAACAATGTCAGTTAAGTCTATCTATCTAGCTCCATGAAGGTCAGCACTTCTGAAGTCAGTTGCCACGCAACTGGTGTCCAATACTAAGTCTAAGTATACCATACTTTTTACATAACATGACTCTGTGTTTGAAATTGCGTTGCATGTCCCAGCAGAAAATATCTGGTGTAGGTATATAATTTTCTCCTATGTATATTTATAAACTACGTACAGCTATATATGCAAACGCGTCGGTTATTTAGAAAGATAAGATTTTTCAATATGGATCATTATATATCATATATGGATATCGTCTTTGTCAGTTTGGGCAATTAGAAGTAAATTACAGGCCGGGCAATAATCACGAATTTCGCTGATGTCTTTGCGAATGCGACAAGGACGCCTACACTAATTATACCGCATAAATTAGAACCTTCGTATGGTATTAGCAGACCAAGGAATGGACTATGAAAACGGATGCAACCGTAGAAATTATAATTTTGTATGGTTTTCGTTCACTATCACGAACAAAATATAACAAAGAAAAGGTGCTATTTTCGAAGGGAAAATGTGCCTTTATACGTTTTTGTCCTAGTTCGTTCCATGACCATCCATCAGTCAAAGAACCCGCTGTTAACCATCTCCTACACGCCCTCTGAGCCAAGACCTTCTTCCTTTTCCTTTTCCCAAATTCCTCTTTCCTTTTGCCAAGTGGCAGCTGGCCTCCCTTTTCTCCTCTCATCCTCAGTAACTGGTATTCCGTCGCAACCTTGGTATATTTCTTCAAGTAGAGACATTCGAGGCCGTGGCCGAACCAACTGACAATTCTTCTCAGTTAGTCTGTCAAAAATTTCTGGCTTGCCCTTCGATGGATGGAGCGAGTCTAATTTCTCGCTATCTGTGGCCTTTATGCAGCTACCATGTTTCACTTGTATAAAGCAAAGAAAGTATAGTGCCTTCAACCAACAAGTTGCTTCTTTGCTTCGTTGACTGTATGCGTTCTAAATAAACTGCAACCCTTACTCCCCCTTCCCCACCGACACCCCCCTACCCCACCCACATCCTCCTGCCACCACCACCAATACTAATTTCGGCGTCCATGATCCATTGCGGTTTACATCTCAGTCTACTTACCAACTGGGTCCAGCGTACTCTACTCCGTTCCTTATTTCGTCCACCGCCCATTCATATGTATATTGCTTGCCTAAGTGGGCTCTTTAAGGGCCTTTCTTTACGAACCCCCGATGTTTTCATTTATTTGTTTTTCTTTTGATTGCATTAAACGAATATTTACACTTTAATTTTCCTGTTCAATGCAGCCAGTATAGCGGCTTTACAAGAGTTTTGGAGAGAAAGCTATCTAGGCGTTTGCTTTAGATTGACTACAATAGCACTCTAAAGCTGATGATAGTTATCTGTGCACAGTAGACGATTGAAATTGGCCGTGTTTTGACCCGCGCGTTGTGTGCACACAACGACAAGTAATTAGTTTAAACCACTTGAAAAGTAAAATATACATTCTAAGTGAGATTAAACGCATATTGATTTCTCTAGATTCGATGTTTCAACTCCTTTCAGTCTTTGAGTTGGGCAGCCACAACAGATATCCGTTCTGAGACAAAGCCGTGACATTTGGCCCAATGACTTATTGAATGACCAATGGTAATCACTTAAGCATTGTGCAGTAGCGTTGTTCGTGGTCGCAGCGTGTTTATCAACAACAAATTCGAGTCAGATAACGGACATAATTACCGGGGCACCCTGTTAACTTGCTTATAAAAGACCCTTACGTCAAATGCAACAAAGATTACTCACACAGCAGGTTGAGGTATCACATCGCAGACATTCTGGTGGAAGCGAGAAGAAACAAGATTGAAACTCCATCTACCTCTAACTCCCAGCCACTAGAACCTAACCTAAAATAGCAGCTGTAAACTACACGAAGTCGCCAAAACTATGTCTCAAGAGGTAGAGCCAGGACGAACCAGCGATCCCCACTCAAGACTAACTCGGCCTCATCCTTTCAGCGTTGTATCGCTAATGCGCGACCATGGTTTGCAGAAATCTCACACAAGCCCACCACCTGTAACGAAATCTGAACACAAATTCTCGGTAGAAAGCCTACTGCAGCACAACAGTAGCAGAGATCAGCAAGGAAGCATAACAGTGCGGGAACCAGTCAAATCTAGTCTCAATCTCGAGGAACGTATGATTAAAGATGGATTCACATCGTGGCTTAATTCTCCAAGATATAGCCCAGCAAGTAAGCATAAATTATGGAATAGTACTAGAATAGGAATGGTAGTGCGATATTTGTTAATAAATATCAGTTTTAGTACAAGTAAATCTAAGTTTAAAACATATAGTGCTATTAGGTATTATGTCGACATTAGGAAGCTAATGTCGGAACTGAATGATCTCTTCTTGGTCGTAATTAACTGGCTATACGGAAATGATGAAAGGAAACTTCGACGTTATGAGCGAAGATTCTTCGTCTAGAAGAGTAGAATCTATACATTCAACACGATAGAGACATCACTTTGGGAGAATGAACTTGAATCAGATTAATTGATGCTAAGTGATGCTAACCTAAGTCCAAACAGCTAGCCGGTGTTGAAAGTTTACAAATAGTATATTTAGAATACACTAGTTATAAAGATGTTGAAATGACACCAAAGAAATCGGAATGAATATAGATAAGATTGGTGAATCTCAGTTTTACTACAATTGCATGCGCACTCAGGCATTAGATTTGAGCTCTAATATAAAGTGGCGCAAAAAACATCCAAGGAGTGTACAATGTACAAATACATGTACGTTTAGATAAAACACTGAGCATGACGTGTTTTAAGGAAAGCATCATCGGGAAATAGGAATCACGACATGTTACGATTTGCTGCAGTAATATATTTTATATAGCCTTTTGACTTTGATTGTATCTGCATAACTGTGTTCGAATATAACGCATGGCATGTCATCATTATATATATATATAGCTGGCCTAGTTGTAAGAATTCCCGAGATTGTGTATCAGTAATGGTGAAACCAACACTGAGAAAAGGAATACAGATCCTCAGTACGGATACAGCCACTAATCACACGAGAGAGAAAGGCATTAATTTGGTGAAGTTTTATTCAATGTCCAATGAACACTTCTCAGCCCTAATCTCGGCTCTACACAGAGATAACTATATTTGTGCATGTATTATACTTCCCTATTTTATTTCCTTCAGTCATGCCGTTTTTGCTCATAGATCTTCTTTGCCGGGCTAATTATGATCATTGAGCAAACAATTACCACTGTACTCTGTACGTCTGCCAATCGTGAAATTTAGAGGAAAAAAAGACCAATTTGTCAAAGAGATTACAGATCAATTGAGTGAGAATATAAATTGAGAGACTTCAACAGAGTTGGCGATCGCAACTCAGGATCCCAGCAGAATAGTGTTTTGTCATGTCCTTTTAACCGAATATTTTCTCCAGTCACTTATAAGACAGACGAGACTATGATGTGACGTTCTGAGCTTTGAAGGGAATTTCTTTCAAAGCCCAGAACTGCACTTTTGTCTTTTGATATAGATTTGGGCATTTGGCTTGCGAGAATCTATGTATAATGTCTATTTTTGTCAATGCAATTTGTATAACGTTTTTATCGAAAGGCATGCATGCATGCGAAGACTCTTCGTGTATTGACAGTTATATAGGAATATCCATCGGCTCACATTAAAACGAAGAACTATTATCAAGGTTATTTAAATGATTCACTTGCTTATATCAGCTTCTAGTTTCATTTCGTTTACTTCACTGCTTGGATATAATTAATAAGCTGTTTGTTTTGATACTAGGCCCTATGTATACAATTATGCATGAACACAGCCTGGCATGAACACTAAAAGCTACTTGTGGCATTTCAGCATAGAATGCGCCAGACTTTGTATAATTGCTCTCGTCAAATACACATTGAAGATTGTGAAGATTCGGGTCTCTGGACGAACATTCATCCAAGTTTGATAAATGTTTATACATAAACATACATTTGTCACCAGACGTTTTCAAGCTATCATCAAGTCACTCATTTAAGCCCAAGGGCAGGGCACGAATTAGATCTGCAATGTTCTGATTAGCAGTGAGACGCTATGCCTATCTAGCGGTCTAGAAAATTATTTTAAATTTGATAACAACTAACAGTATTTGCCGAAACACTAGCCAAGTTTTCGCCGGTACATTTTTTGAAGGTATAGCAACTGTCTGACATGGTGACATTGCAATAAAAAAACAAGAAGTGATCCACTCAGATTTTTGCAAGCCAATTAAGATGCCGAAAAATCTCTTTAGTTCCATTCCGCCATGATTGCGGCTTCACGCGTAGTCGTCGGTAGGAATAAATGGAAATATTTGAATCATTAAAAAAAAATAATGATAATTTGAGCCATTAACCCGCCCTTTATAATTTCAGTGCTAGAATACAAAAATATGTTCAACGCTATAAATAGGCGCAGAATTATACTGCCCACATAGACGGATTCGATAAATGCTTGTTATACTCGCACTCTTTTTTCTTCCGTATTTCATTTCAACCAAGGTAATAACTGCCGCCTTACAGAACACTTCAAGACTAACAGTTTTACAAAACATATAAAATAGAACACAATGCCATGTATTCTCATCGAGCAATTGTTTAAGATTGTTTTGGTGCTTTTTGGAAATTTCAAAGGGCTATTCACTTGCATGGATCATTTTCAATCTTGGCTTTTACACTTTGCCTTAATAACTGTCTTCATCGAGAAGTCTACTAACTTATCCAGACGAAGGGCGTTCGCTCGAAACGACGAAATTCCCCAACCCCTTTAAAGTTTTTCTTCCCTCCTCAGTATTGGCAATGTTGCAATCTTTGTTATTTGAAGATTTCCAAGATTGTATACGCTCTCAGCTTTTCCGTATCATTTTACGACTTTAACCACACGAAAACAATTTCCTCAACATGCATGCGTGGGTGAGAAGCCAAAAATAGACTAAGACATTTATGAAAGTGCTCTAAATACCGATAAACGCGTTTTACAAATTGTCGAGATGATTCTTCCGGCCTTCTTGAATGTTATTTTATAATTTAAAGATAATTATTGACAATTAACAACATCATGTATCAGGCGGCGTTTATAATTGCAACAGTGAATAGAACTTTTATAATTATGTTTCTGGAATGAACGATGCTTTTTTTACTTGTTTTCCAAATTTCTGATCCGTAACATTATCAACGCAAATGAAATATACAAACAAATAGTCCCTATGATGAAACAGCTCTGTAAAGTACCATAGTTATTTCAAAAGGGTAACATCAGTAAGTGATATAATTTTGACGGTCTGCATGTGCCAGTGGAGGTACTGCCAATAATAAGAAAGGGATATAACTGAAAAATGGAAGAGAACTTTTACGTTTCGAGCGAAGGACCTTCGTCACTTTCTTCGTCACTTTCTTAACAAGTACATCAATGATGCTTGTGATGTTACTCTTAGAGTGTATCCACACCGGGTAGGCTTGAAACATATGCCTGGCCACGGTGGGAATCGAACCTACGACCTTTGGAATACTATCCCAATGCTCTGCCAACTGAGCTTACGTTACACCAACACTGAAAAAATTCATGTACATCAATATGTGATCTCTGACATATTTTCAGAATTGCATCTGTGATCAAATAATGATTTCTCCATACTTATAGTGTCATATTTAAAAGTAATGTTAGGAATATGGCCCACGGTTCATTCTAACGATATTTTTGGATCAATAAGGGATGGCTAATGCTCTCTATCTATAGGGAGAGAAAGTTAATTTAGATAGAACGTTAATTTAGATAAAGATTTAGTGTGTACATGCATATCGGTTTTCATTTTGAAAGATCTAATGTTTCTCATTATTTTTACCAGGAATCCGAACGCAGATCAGTCCAACCAAATGCCAGCTTCGTAAACACAAGACGAATCGCAAACCCCGTACGCCTTTCACGACAACGCAACTTCTAGCTCTGGAAAGAAAATTTCGACAAAAGCAATACTTGTCTATCGCCGAACGAGCCGAGTTCTCTTCGTCGCTGAACCTAACAGAAACTCAAGTAAAAATTTGGTTTCAGAATCGCAGGGCAAAGGCAAAGAGACTACACGAGGCAGAAATTGAGAAGTATAAATTGGTAACGAAGCCTATTCTGCTACCACCAAGTGTTCCCATTGCACCACACTCGTACGCAACTACACGAAATACTTGTACGGCAGGTTGCGCACAGAATCATCCACATGGTTTACACTCGCCTTTACATTATGCTCCTCAAGGACAATCACCTTATATGGGTCTAAACTGCCCCACAATGCATCATCACGCATTACCACCAGGTTTTGGACTCTTGTGTGCACCAACGAGAGCTCCTATAGCAGACCTAAGTCATTTCGTTTATCCATAAACGATCAAACTAAAAAAAGTCGTGGAGAGAAAGGAAGAATCTTGCATGGTTCCTATACATGAGACTACGACTGAGGCCTACAATACTAACGCTGCCACCAATTAATGTTCCAGTAATGACGAATATAGACATGTCTCTCTAATTCTAGTACTATGCCTATGGCCTTTAAAACGTATAAACTCTCAAAAGGAAGGAACAAAGCTGCAGAGTTACAAGCCTACGACCTATAGTGTCTGCCCATGCCACTAATGTTCCAGGTATATGCGCAAGAACAATGAACAATATCTCAGAGATATTGTTGGAAGAAACTTCATGGTTTTGATTTCTCAGTTGTCACACGTATATCTTGCATTGTCTCAAGTGAAGGACAGAACAATTTGAAACATGTATATATAGTATTTATTTATTTCATGAAACTTCGAACAAAATTAAAGTATCATTGATATCATTTTGCTAGTTATGTAAATACTGATGAATTGTATATTTATTTAAGGAAAATATCATGTTGTATAATATTAATGAATGCAAACATTTAAAAACATTTGATTGTGTCTCATTATAGTACCCAACACAAATGTCCCCTGGGCTCTGGATACTGGATAGTCTATAGTTTTGATGTATACACAGAAGCATGCAGCGTTTGTGCAAATCAGATACAATGACAATTTTATGACTTCATCGACAATTAATTCCTTCTTTGTTGTTTGGGAAAACACATTAATTTTACTTACTTCGCAAAGCCTTTCTATTCATAAGCCAATACTCCCACCATATAATAACAAAATAAATAAATAAACAAACAAATATGTCACATAATGTATCAATATTGTCATGAAATCCTATCATTGACATTGAAGAAGTTTACTGAATATTGCTTTTGAAAATAATTACGATTTTATGTTTGTTTTCGATAATACATATCATTCATACCTAAATTAGTATTTCTATCTTATACAATTACAAGTCTTGTTATAAACATTTGTACACATATTATCGAAAAAAATTGTTCACTTTATCGAGGCAAAATCGCTATACGTCTAGCTGCCCCTGTTGATTAATTAAAATAAAACGAGAATCTGAATGACCTCCAAGGTCATGACTGCAAATTACAGACACACATTCCGCCTCTTATCGGATAATTGCCGTGAGTACTTGACACAGATGGTCGAGAAACGCTTATATGAAACAATTTGTCACAGGAAATTATCGCCAGTTATGTTTATTGCTTGAAATTATCTGTCTATATAGGTGCTTCTTCAACAGGATACATGCATATATGACCATATATAATAGTCTTATATGTATGAGATGATTGTGATCAGTGACCTTATGGACACGGATATTTATCATCATCATGATATTTTTATATATTGAAAGATCGTATAGAATTCTTCACCTCTATATACGAAATCATCCCTATTGCCAGCTATATCTAGATGATAGAAGCCTATGCTATTTAGGTTTCTTAACATAATAATAAGTTATAATAGAAAAAACCCAACACTGTATATATTGACCTATTTAGTCAATTGCATGAGAAGAACTACTATTTTGGAATCAAATCATGCAAGTATTTTAAACAGACGAGATAGCGTAAATACATGTGTGGACCACTTTTTAATAGGAATGTACGTTCAATAAGGCATAATTAGCGGCAACGGTCAGTCTTGTTTCGACATGTTTTCTCGTGCTATTCCCTGTGAAGATATATTCCAAAGATTGGATTGGACCACATAAAAGTTTCTAGTGTGGTCATGCACACAATGGCGTCATCAAAATCAGAATTTCAATGATTTAAATTGTGTGTTGGGAAGTGATTTACAAGTGTTGGTGAAACGTCGACAGAATAGACCACACATCTTTACATGCGGGTTCAATCAATCAAGCATTCTCAAGGTCTGAAAATCTTCTGGTAAAAATTATTCTAAATGCATGAACAGACAACTCGTATATATACCTCACAAATTTTTTTTCAACGCCAACGCTAACAACAAATTTAGAAACACTATACGTATATCTTTACAGGCTTTATGTTTTGTCTTTTTTTAAAATTGTGCTTTAATTAGGTCTGAAAACTCTTTGATATAAATCTACAATGTCAAATACAGTGATACATGCGTGGACCCTATTGTATAGTGCACTTAAGACATAAGTACTTACTTATCACACATTAATTTCCACTCAAATCAAATCACTAAAAATAAATCAATTAGGAAACTTCCATCTTAGTACATGATACTATATAAGTCAACAATCTGAAATCATGATTTGTAAGGCCATATGTGTATATGACTGAATTTGTTTGATATCTTTTTACGCCTCTTATCAATTGCATCGAAGACTCTCCAACAGATCAGCCACATTTTGAAAAATCCTCGAGGCAAAAAGTCTGGACCTGCTTGTCATTGCGACATATAAAAGTTATAAACTCGTATATGTATATATAGCAACAAAGTTTATATAGGAATTTAGGTTCAAGGCTTTCTTGATTCTTAGGCTATAGCTGGTCAATGTGCTTACATGCCTTTCTCAAAAACACTGCGTGGCCTTTCCACAAAGCAGACGAACTTAAACGCTGTGCAATCTTACAAGGAACTTGGGTTTATTCCGCTATGAACTAGTTCCGCCGGCTCTGAGCTGTAATTACTGTATATTAAGCCCCGCGTTCAAACGAGTCAAACATCGTCCAAAAATCAAAATTGTTGGTTGGGCGATGTTGGCCAACAGAGAGGTTCAGATTTTGACTATACACTACCTTAACCAATCAGATGCATTCATGCCACTCGATGAACCAATCAAATGCGTATTAAGTCAAATCCGGACCTCTCTAATGTTGGGGAAGTGTGTTCAATGTTCCGACACGTAATCGTCCAATGTTGCATCATGTTGCACAATGTGAGATGAAGATTTGAAACAACTCCAAACCCAATCCAACATAAGCCTGCATTATATATACCACAACACAGTGTTCAAACGAAGGCAACATGTTGCATCCAAGCAACAATCGCTCGGACGATTGTTGGACCAATATTTTGGTCTCGTTTGAACCAGTGACGTAGCCAGGATTTCTAGTCAGGCCCGAAAATATCCCAAGAGGGGCCAAAGCAATTTTACCCTGCGCTAGTTCGAATGAGGTTTGAGTTTATTATGTGAAAATGTATTTGGACTCCCACGTTATCCGTGCATAATAAATACAATGAACGTTTGGGGGTGGGGGGTTATTAAATCCTAGAGTCGGTAGGAGTGCCATTTTAAATCAAGCATTTTAGGGGCGATTGTATTGTGTTTTGGTGATTTTAAATAACCATTTAACATCTAACAACTCTACTTAATCACAAACGAATCCATAGCATTTTAAATATACTGCAAGATATGACATTTCCATTTCAAGAAATGAAAATATAATGCACATGCTTGTCAGAATGTCTTCAAGAGGAGCCCAATATTTTGCCGGGGGCGGGGGGGGGGGGCTAATAACCCCCAACTTGTTTGAAACATTGAAGTGTTTTTAACTCTTTTATGTCGTTCAGAAACCAACCACAGGAACTATAGTATCCATTGTAACAATTAATGGAGCAATGAACATTACATGGACAATAATCTCCAGAATGTTACATTCTATTTTTCTCATTCAATTGAGGTCCTACCTACACCTCATGTAGACAACACATTAGTCATGACACAATACACTATGTAGTAGCCTTTTGTTCAGTAAAAGCATTGGGATAACATGATTGTTCAGAGATAATATTTGTGAAAATTGCTTTTTGAAGTCATGCCAATTTGTTGTATACCTTCGTAAATAACAGATGATAGTTCTCTTATATTATTTAATTGGGAACGAATGTTTGGAAATTGAAAGGAGAATTTCTCAATAAGTCAAATCAAAATGCATTAGGCTATTACGAAAGAGAGGCCACACGTAGATGACCAAAAAACTAGATCTATCTATCTTCAGTTTCTTTCTGCTCATATGCAATAAACTACTTGCTACCATTTCCTACTTGGAAATTGCACCATGCTACAAATTTCTACCTGCGTTTTAAGATATATTCAAAGACGAAAACTATATCACTGCGCGGCATTGAGTGAATTGTGTGGTTTTAACTGGAAGTAAAATGCATACTGCATCTGTGCCATGATTGTGATTTGTGTCTGTAGTTTTCATGTACAAAATATTTGTACTTTAAAACATCTCAATCACAGACACAGTATCTCTATCATCACTAAGCCATCAACAAGCTATCTCAATTAACATCTTAAAACCCTCGATACACAACACAAATTATTCCATGTTTTCAAAAACAATGTGCACTTTGAAGGTGCAAATTGCTTTGCCTGCAGGAAACTTCACTTAAAGATTGGTATGCATCTCCTGCGAGGGAGTTCTATAATAAGGCTTTTCAATAACACTTAAAAGCCTTTGTTGTGTCTATAATGCTAGCACCGTAGCACGCAACAAAGAATATTCTCATGTGCGCGCCAAAATCAAGAATGCGTGTTATAGCCATTTATAACGTGCTCTAATTTGTGGGCTATTATTGCTAACGGCACTTAACGTTATTAATAAGAGGACTTGACCTTATATTGCTGATATAAAGCATCACTCGTGTAGGCAATTATAGTTATAAACTTAAGAGCGTATGAGGGGCGTTCTAATTTATTTCAAATGTACGAGTCATTCAATTTCACAATGCATTTTACGATGCACTTACGTAGTCGAATTTTCCATCCAATAATTGTCGCACAATGATATCCTAAAAATGCATGTAACATTTTGGTGTATAACGATTGTGATGGTGTATATTTGGTTTATAGAAATTGTGATTGCGTAACTATTGTAGATATATTAAGATTGTGATTGCGTCCATGTTTCATCACCTGCAAACATGTGCCATAAATGTTCATATCACTCTTTCTAGAAATTAGTAGTAATTGTTGCCTGTAGACATGAAACCTTTTTATTAAGTATATTAAGGTGTATTTAGAGCCTCAGTAATATAGGGCGTAATGAAAAGCCAGAAGGCATGTCACATCAGTCTATTTTCTAAAGTCTAAAGATTCTGCGTGTTTCATCAGCAACAAACACGTGTTATGAATATTCATACCACTGTTCAGGTCGTTCTAGAAATTCAAAGTAATATATATGTAGCATTGTAGGTAAGACTGCTATAATTGTGGCATGATACAACTTTACCATGAAGATTAAAGAATGTAACATGGATAAACCCTGTGCATGTTTTATAACCAGTAATTACATATCAGCTACAAATGTTTATCACTATGATCTAGTAATCAATCTAAGCCATTGCATGGCATTGGTGATCCGTTGATCGTCGCACAATGATATAAATTAATTAAGTAACATTTTCGGTCTGTAAAAATTCTGTACATGTTGAAGTGGCGGACCCAGGTGGGGGACCGCCCCTAGGCTCCCCAATAGTTTCCACAAACCTTTGATTAATATCTAAACAGTGTAACAAAGCTGCGACAAGTATTTTTCGACCATGAGAGCATGGTAGGCTATATATTAAGCTGTATATATTGCATTAAATTATAGGCAAAAAAGTTTAAAGAACCAAGACTTCGAGGAAAAATTACCCACAATAAATTTAAAAAAACTTAAACTCATAAATATTAAACTTTATTCTGGACTATACCAATCAACAAGCAATTTAAGAAAGTTTGAAAAAATTACTATCCAGTGCATAGATAGGGCTATACTGCTATCCCGCCTTCATACTATAGTCTATACTAATTTGTACTTCTACTAATGTAAGTGTATATATTGAGATATTGTGTACTTCTAATTCTGGCCTCGATTTCTGCCATGCCACTGTCTTAATAGTCTTAATAGATCTAACGAGGACACGACCGTAGGAATTGACAACGTTCAACCACAACACAGCACGAAACATCTAAATTTATTAACAATAAAATCAACATCTTAGCAAAGCTATTAGCGCAGCTACTTTAAAACATTAACTGAAGCTTTATTGACACCGCAGCATCTAAACACTACTATACTGAAAAGATTTATTCATAGAATGAGCATAGCTAGATACATTAAAAATATATAAAATCCATTAAAGCAATTCGTTTAAAAAGGTTCAAGTTAGTACAAAGTGTCAAACAAACTAGTATTATTCATATAAAAAGGAACTCTAGTGCCCCTCAAACATAGAAGGGAAGATCTCAGCAGACAAAAAGAGAGTTTCGTACGTAGCCAAGACATAGTTATTGAGTATGGTTTGCCAAATTTGGCTGCCAGCTTTGTAGCAAGAATCTTGTGAAATCTCGCACATTCTTTACCCATCGCACCATTTGTGCCAAAGACCAATGGTGTAAATAGTGCTTGCTCAATTTCAATTACTCTTCGATTATATTCTCTTTTCTTCTCATTCTCATGACGTGAGAGGATCTTGTGGGTTGGTAGTAACTTATAGGACGCGGCGTTAAGATGTGCTACTCTTATGTCAAAAAATGCACTTTGGCCATGTCTATAGAAACCCCTAGCTTTCACATCAAGTCGTGATTCATCTTCTGTGTTTGTTGATCTCAAGGCAAATTCTTCTCCTGTCACCGGTTGTAAAGGTGGCTCGATAGAAACATCATTGCAGACTTCAGAGAGGAGAGCAGCTTCCAGATTTCTCATTTGGTCGTGGCGCGCGTGTATAAAGCCACCTTTTTTACACTCCATCGCGTGGTAAGGATCGAAAAGTTTTCCACAGGGACATATGCTTGGGAGATCTGGGATATATTTGTTATATCTCAGCGCCAAAGCGTCTCTGAATTCTTCTTTATTCAGACAGAAGCCTTCTTCTTGTAGTGGTAAGACATTTAACCATCCAGAGGCACCTTTTTCTCGGGCTAAAGAGATTGTTCGATGCTGCTCTTGGGAAAGTTGAATATCAACCGATAATGAGGAGGTAGTTGCTCTTTCCACCCGAAGACTTCGAACTTGGGACTTTACGTTGGTTATTGCGTCGTCTTGTGGAAGTTGATTACATGCTTGAATTATGATCAAAGCAGATAGTGGAGCACATAACAGTTTTGACGTATTTCGCTCGAAATCAGCATCTTCTGGGATACGTGGTATTCCCAGTCCTCCATTACGTATGGGTAGAGCATAAGTTTCCCGATCAAGTTGAGAAATATCCTGGCCAAATATAGTTGGTAGAAATTTCGAACAAATAATTTCTTCTACAGGTTGGAACAAATGGGCCACGTTTGGAATAGTCCTGATGTAAAAAGTAAACTTGTGCTTATAACCATGCACAAAAGCAGCGTATGCGGCATGTGGCTGCGACTTCGCTATAGAGCATAGATTTTCGAGCTCGGTACACCAAGTAGAGACTTTGCTATTAACATATTCCTCTCTGAAACAAGTAGATCCAATGACAGCTCCCAGTAATCTATGACCATCGGATGTAATCTTGATGTCGTGACTTTTAAATAATTCAGTGGCTCTCTCTATATCCCACGGATCTTTAATTACTAACCAAGATTTCCCACTGTTGACATGGTAGCCATACTTTACGCCTTCGCTTATTAGCATTTCAAAAAACGCCAGTAAAGCACGTAGTTTACCTGCTGCGGTCGAGTCATCGGCAAACCAAACTTGTTTCACCATATCATATGCATCATGAAGAAATGAAATTAATACCATGACCGAAATGGCATAGAAAGGCATGGCTAATGGGTCCCCCTGTGTTGTGCCTTCTTGCGATCGAAGCTCACCTCCGCCCACAATAAATAGCCTCGCGGGGTTTCGATACGTATTAATTATGGATATCGCTGGTCTTGGGCATAATAACAAAATGTTATGAAGAGCAACTTGACGATTTAGTGAATTAAATGCATTACTTCATCAATCAGTAACATCCCTTCCGTGTTTTCCTCTTCCCATACTTGCTGCATAGCATGGATGGCTGCTTCTGCTCCAGCTTCATGCCCAGCACAGACTTGAATCGGACCAGTCGCTTCTTTGAAATCTTGCTTGAATTCCTTTGTTAGCGCTTTCCCAACCAAGCGCCTCATAATCTCACCAATACCGATGGGTCGTATACCAGGGGACTTGTCTAAGGGGATAAGTCTATTGGCAACATATGCTTCCAGGGAGAAGGGATCCAGACTTTCTGTTGCTATTTTCACAGCAAACAAAGCAATTTGTTCACGCAGGCATTTACCTTCACGGTGAAATTGCTTTGAGCAAAGCATACGAATATACTGAGTAGCGTCGAGGCCAGAGGGACCAGCAGCTCCCTTTAGTGTTTTCGCAGCAGTTAGTATAGTTTGCTCATCAACTGCTAAAGATATATTGCGAAGGTCAATAATGGGACCATGGAGTAAGCTACTTGGTTGTATATCTGCAGGGGCTGGATGCTTCTCCTGCAGATATCGAAGGACTTCCTTGGATAATGGTAGGACACAACCATCAGATTCTTCGCTAAGAAGACGAAGAGCAGCATTAACGTTTCCCATCATGATTAACTTTGCAAAAGTTTTAGACAGATTGTCCGAGGATGTCTTTGGTCGTAATTGACGTTGGATAGAACGACATTCTGAAAGCAGACGCTGTAATTCACCATCTTTTAGCCATTTGATTCTACGGCTCAAGGCTTGCGAATGTTCCTTTGCTTTTGACGATGCTGAGGGCTTTTGCAGAAGAATCATTGGAAGAGTCATAAAAACCTTCAATTATATACCCATAAAACTATCTTCATTATTAAATTTAGATAGCCATTGTGATTGTAATTTGATGAATTCTTTGCCCGCTTTCCCTGAAGGAATTTTAAACACATTCTTCCGCCATTTCACCGCCTCATCATATGCCGAATCAAAGAAGTCACAGAACAATTTTCCCTCTGTCGAATAAACCCTAAAACCTGAAGAATGGTTTATAGGTTTAAAGCTAGGTAGATTTGGAAGGATCGTTCGCTGAGCTTCTAAACTGCCCACTCACCCATATATATCAGCAGTAAAAATGCAAAAAGTATAAACGAAAGCTCAACCTTCCAAATGTATTTCGAGGAAACAAATAAATCATGACAACTAATTACTTGAACATTTTTGAAATAATTGCACCGTTTGGACGTATTATGTTAGGCTCGTAGATACAAAACTTCAGTCATTGTTGCTCCTTAAACCCTCGACTTAAACTGCATTTCTCGCTTGCAGAATCGCCAATTTGAAAAGTATTTTCAAAATTCGTGATTTCAAAATCTATGTTTAGGTACTATTTTTTCAGTTAATTGGACTTTTTAACAACTTTTAATCGACATATTTGATATATTCAACTCACAACGAAAATTTAGTTGGTCAAGAAACTTGATTGACAAGTTTTCTTTGTTTTTGATATTTTATCAGATCCAATTCAAGAACGATGACGTAAGTGTCAAGTTGTTCCTAATTTCGTATGCAACTTCGTGACCTTTTTCAGGAAGTGTGTTTTCATTGAACATGAAAATCTAAATTAGCCGTTTACGTAGCCAAACGCATGCAAATCCTTCAACAAAGACATGGAAATCTACTTTTGCAGGTTTGTCATAAAATGAAAATCCTATTGAATGGTTTGACATAGAGTATCTTCCTGCTAGGCATTTTATTCGTTTCTCGCATTTTTCCTCGCCCTTTAAGGGCTCGAAAAATACGTTCGAAACTCGTAACATACTCGACCGGATTATAGGTCATACCTTTCAATAAAATATATTGCTAGCATATTTTTTCTTCTGTGTTAAAACCCTTGCTGTTTAGCAAGGGAAGGGAAGCGTTATGAAGACTAATTAAATAATTTTCATATGCACAAAAATCATTTGAAATGCCTGCGTATATGAGTACCGTACATCTGGCGTAATTCTAGCGTATTCAGCGTGTGCTTAGAGTACGCTTATCGTAGAAATCATACGTCCGAATACGTACAAAATTTTTATGCATGCTTAAAAAGTTTCTTCCTCACAGTTTTCCAACGTACGCCACCGTATACGACCGTGCTTGAAACGTATGCAACCTATCCCTAACGTACCCCTGGCGTTGTCAATGTTTTCCACCCCGGTTTGATTTCGTTCTGGACTCATGCACACGGAGCCTTAGTTTTCGCACCGCTGATTTGCTTTTGAAATTACAAAATCTGTTCGTTTAATACGCTTTCCCATGTTTTGCTTTAAGTTAAGGCCCTGTCAGACTATTACGTATCGTACTAGCGCATGCCAGCGTATGAAAAATATCACTCATACGCACAGATGCATACATGAGACGCGACGAAAATAAGTCAGACCGGTCTCAAGTCATTCCAACTGCTGGACCGAGCCTGCCGAACGGCTGACTTCACACCGGCATGAATTCAGACTGGGATGAATGTAAAAACAAATATATTTCAGATAGGCTCGGCTGTAATCACTAATTGGAACAATACATGCTAACAAAGCCATTTGAAAAATAATATGGAAATTGAAATTTTTTATATTTTCGTACCGGTCTTATGTAAACATTTTGACAATTTCAATTTTCATTCGGGTTTGATTTTGTCCCGGTCTCATGCAAACGGGTCCTAAATGTTCTTTGACCAGTTCAATAACTTGATATGCATATTCTTTCCAATATCTGCTACATGACACTGACGTCATCGTTGTTGAATTGGATCGGATAAAATATCAAAAACAAAGAAAACCTGCCAATAAAGTTTCTTGACCAACTAAATTTTTATCTACCACAAACAAGAAAGTCGTTGCGAGTTGAATTATTATATGAAATATGTCCACTAAAAGTTGTTAAAAAGGCGAATTAGTTTAAAAAAATATATAGTACCTAAACACAGATTTCTTCAACTATTAAACGTTGTAACCATGAATTTTGAAAATACTTTTCAAATTGGCAATTCTGCAAGCGAGAAATGCAATTTAAGGAACAACAATGAGTGAAGTTCTGCGTCTACGAGCCTAACATAATACGTCCAAACGGTGCAATTACTTCAAGAATAATCAGGTAAGTTGTCATGCTTGATTTGTTTACTTGAAATACATTTGGAAGGTTGAGCTTTTGTTTATGCTTTTTGCATTTTTTTATTGCATGTTGAAACGAAGTTTAATTTTAATTTTTTTTTTTTGCATGGTTAAGCGGATTCTAATTTTAATTTTTTGCTTGCATGGTTAAACGGATTTTTTTTCATTTTTATTTGCATTTTTCTCTTGCATTTGTTTCTTACATTTTTTCCCTTTTTTTCATGCTTTTTGCATTTTTACTGCTGACTGATTTGCTCAACAAATTGCTTCGTCCTAACCTGGAGAAACTTGTCTAGACGAGGGCAATAATACGGATTTTTACCGTGTAATCTGCTCTCAGATTTTCCGTGTTCTCATGAACTTATTTCGTAAAATCACGTCATTGTCATGTAATATCATGAAATATTCAATGATAATCCTGGCTATAAGAGAATATACAATTACTTTATGGTTTCCGTGTTTGGATGGCCTGATCCAAACACGCGGGAATGTTGCGAGAGTTAAGAAAAGCACGCAAAAGCACGAGTCGAAAGCGAGTGATTTTGCGCGCTTTTCTTAACTCTCGCAACATTCCCGCGTGTTTGGATCAGGCCATCCAAACACGGAAACCATGAAGTAATTGTTTTATAAAATAACTACAACACGATAGTCTTCCGTGTTTGGATGGCCTGATCCAAACACGGGTTTCGACCAATCAGAGCACGCGTTATATACATGTTATTTTATAAATGCAAATAATAGTTGAACTGCTAAATTCTTTGATATGTATATTCTAATCATCCAATCTAAGCTACAGAGTTTACGTATTGGTCGAGCGTCGAGGCTCAAATTTCGGGAGTAAAATCTCGCGGCCGGCGTAAATTGTGGAGGCGAACGTGGAATGTCGAGGATAAATTGTCGAAGGTTAAAAAAAATCGCAAAAAAGTACTATATTAAAGATTTAAGGTAAGGTACTAACCGTTATATTACGTATAAAGAAGTAGCGAAAGTTACATAACTTTCTCGTCAAACAGTATTGTTATACCAGCATTTTTAAAACAAGTAATCAAATAGATAATTTCACGTGCACAAGCACCATGCAGCGTATTTCGGGTTTTAAATGCACTATTAGATAGACTTAGAAAACACGACGCGACGTCGAAGACGACGTGAAAATGGCGTGTGCACCTCGCATTCACTTTCGGGTTTTAATCAGGAACGGTAGCCTATATGTTTGTCTTTTTCGAAGCACATTTTTGGTTTTTTGTCGCCTGCTCATTACTGCATTCTAGTGATACTGGCCTCTTCATGATTTAATATGAACATTCATTAAATATTATTGTTTGAAAAAACCAGTATATTTTTGTATTTTGAACGACGGAACTTTGTCGTATGATTTGAATTAAAAATAATATATGCAGGTATTGTTAACGACCTAAATGCTTTAGTTTGCAGCTGAATCAATCAAGTTTGTCAAATGTTCAGTAATTGTATCGGTGTTTATATTGGTAAAATTTAATACTGCTTACGATAGTTTTTTACGCTGGAAAGAGTTTTTTGCTTGTTAGGCTTTTTCGCACTGTTGTGACACAGCAAAAAAATTGATTGAGTTTTTACTGATTTAACTGTCTTATTTCATCTATTTTCTCCGGTTTTCTTGACTTTAAACAATTATTATTATAACTTCAGTTCAGTTTGGTCTAAAATGTGAGTTTTGGTGAGGAGTTTCGTAATGGCGACGAAAGTATTTGTCGAAAATAAACCCGTCCAAAATTTAGCGAAACACAAGAAAAACAATTTTGTGAATAAAACATTTTTAACTAGAGAATCAGTAAATAATACTTAGCGAACAAAATAGGATTATCTCTATTCTGGATACTTTCGTAGGCTACTTTTCTCAAAAGAAACATAATTCTGTGACGTCTAGAGAGGACGTGAATATTGTATTTTCACGTCGTGTAATCGTCTAAGACGATGTCGCAAACCAGAAGCTGACGACAGCCGCTCCCGCCAAATGACGACATCCGTCGTCGTCTTAGACGTCGCGTCGTGTTTTCTAAATCTGCCTATTATGCCATAGCGTAGTGATTACCATCAGCGGAAAACCACCAAAAATAGTGTAAACACCACAACAAAAGAGTTGTTTTCACTCACTGTACCGTAATAGCGTATAAACGCATCTTAAGTTTATATTTCCTGACTTATGTAACCCGACGATTTCGAAAGCATTAATTGCATTCTCAGACGAATTTATGTGCAGCGACGGAGAATTAATGCTGAGTGGGTTTTGCACAACTTATTTATTCCATCACACTTATTTATTCCATATATATAAAGGATTGAGAAACAACTGTATAATGTCAATCTGTTTTCGTATTGAAAAGACAATGTTAAAATCTGAAGGGTTTTTTAGTGTTAAATATTTAATGACATTGTTGACCAATTTTATACGCGTTAGCCAAAACAGAATATAATTTCGAAAAAATCAGTGACAAATGATTTTATTGCCTCCTGCACGGCAACAAATCAGCAAGTATTTTGAGGACTGTATATAAGATATAAATATGTATATGTAATCACACGGAAAGGAGTGCAATTAATGATTGACGCTACAAGGAATATTTGAAAAATGTGTCAAACGACCCTTACAAAAATTCCACATGATTTCACATGTGTGAAATTTCACATGTGAATTTGGAACATGTGATTTTTCACATGTGAAATTTCACATGTGAAATTATGTTTCACATGTTCCAAATTCACATGTGAAACTTCACATGTGAAACACATAATTTCACATGTGTTCACATGTGAAAAGTCACATGTTCCAAATTCACATGTTCCAAATTCACATGTGAAATCACATGTGAAACACATAATTTCACATGTGCTAACATGTGAAACTTCACATGTGAGATATCACATATTCCAAATACACATGTGAAATATCACATGTTCCAGTTTCACATGTGAAATTATGCAAAGCTTCAATCATGCACATTTAAACCTGTCAAACAGTGAGATACTGTACATATAGGAAGTTGAAATAATTTATTTATACAGTTAATTGCTACAAATGTTTAGCTACCATACAAAATAATTTATAATAAGGAAAAAAATTAGCAGTTCAAATGTCTTCTGCAATTTTTCTTCTTTTCGTATCAGCATTTCCTTTGTCTTTGCACTCTTGGGCCATTGCAGCTTTCACTGATGAAGCTGTTGCTCCCGCAAAACGTTTAGTCACATGAGCTATAAGAAAGGAAACACAAGACTATCATTAGCTCTACATATTTCATGTACTGGAACTCCACAGTCAGTTAACATTACAGTATATAGCACTTCACAGTTTGCATGCAGCAATATGAGCAGTTCTCTCCTGTCCAACCTATAAACTTTCTACCTTATTACGAATGGGAGGACCTACTGTAGTAGCACAACCCAACCCTTGGTTGAAGTTAGTTCTAGTATTATCATAATTGATAACCCTTGGTTCATATGGCTTTTGCCCTGACTCATCCCCAGTAATGTATTCTCTGTGCGGGCGACACATGGCAAATTGGAAAGTGCTGCAAGGCTATCTTCTCAACAAGTAAAACAGTAAAATTTGCTGGCATTAGACAGAGTAATATAAATAGAGAGCATATTGCCAGTGAATGGGTTAACAAGAGAAATATGCAGATAGTATTTGTTAACAGACATCTCAACAGCACCTCCAATATTTTGCAAGGTATCTGCTACTGGTTGTTGGTATTTGTGATTTAATATGCTGTTGGCTCATTCCAGAAAACATTGAATAGATTCATGAGATTATGATTTAACCTTAGTTATATTGGAGAGGAGTGCTACTTGTTTCAGTAATCCACTGAGTGATATCACTGACAAGTAAAATCATCTGACATTGGGTCATTCCAGAGAACATCGATACCTCCTCCATAAAGGAAATTGGAAGTTAACCCCCTTTCCCCTTTTAAATTTGAATGTCCTAATACACTTACTATTATCAGAAACAATTTTTTCTCCCCTCCCCTCCAGATGGTAGAAATTTCTTCTGTGCCCAGGGGAGAGTGGATCTTTTCCGGAACGACCCATCAGACAGAGTAACACAATAAAGTTGGGGCACAATGCAGCTTATGCCATGTCCAGCCTAGTGTAATATCCAGTTAACACCCCATCTTAATGACCTGCCAAACTTCTTGAGAAGTATTCCTGTTTTGTTGGGTTAATATGGCCATGTGTTTAGTGAACCCAATAAGTTGTATTGTACCCTTGTGTGTCCTACTTCCTTATTTTCCTGTCTTTTAAATGCCAGATTATTGTACTCTGTCTAATGCCAGACCATTTTACTATCAAGACTAAGTGAATCGTTAAGTATACTGGTGCATAAATTCTGTTCTTATAAATTAATGGTTATTTATAAGTTAATTCAATCTAAAATCCTTCATAAACAATACATTTTATAGTGCTGGTTTAGTACATAAGAGTGCTGTAAGTGTAAGCCTGTAAATATAGCCTGGCAAAGTCTGTTTAAGGACCTGTAGGTATACTGTAGCCACTTTGTAATTATTATGATCCCGCCGGCATGATCCAGCTTGCAATATGAACTCTATCAATAGTTTAGTAATTAAAGTAAATTATTCTACTTCTATCTGGCCTAGACAGGATCCCACCTGCCAGGACAAGAAACTCTCATATAAGTACTCTATCATCCCTGCCAGGTGGGGTGTATTCTGTCTATATTAACCAATTAAGCACCAGCGCTCTCCCCTTGACGAGTAAAATCGTCTGGCGTTAGACAGAGTAAAATCGTCTGGCGTTAGACAGAGTAAAATACTAAAGTAGGGTGCATCAGGGTGCAATGTGACTCAATGGGTTAAACACACCATCCTGGATTAAAACCTACTGTCCAGTCATGCCATTATCATATAAACAGGCACATATATGTACAGGGTAAACTCTAGAAGGGTTTAGCTTGGAAATCCTTCAACCTCAAGCTAGCAAAAGTTTACACTTTTTTACCATATTGTGGGAAGCACTAACCATTTAGCAGGGCTGCAAATTACTGTCGGACATCGGACAATGTACGACTAAATTTGGCAAATGTCCGAGCAAAAGTAATTTTGATCGGACATTGGTCTGATCACAAAA